GTAGTCACACTTTGATGCATCAACTAACTCTTATTTCCTTCCATTCAGTTTGCATGCTAGCCTTAGTTACAGAGGATATATTAGTGACCACCTGCTTATTTTAGAAATGAATTTCATATTCTTTTTTTTATAATTATTGATGAATTTAATGTATTTTAATGTATTACATCCTTGAAATATTGGAAGAAATTAAAATGGAATGAATCCAACATACGTGAGGAATGGTACATTTCCCTCCATTCTAAATCTAATAATTTATTGTGTTATTTTTTATCAATAACAATATTGTTCCTATCTATAAGCTAATGCTATTATATAATGTGTTTTATCGATTCTGGATTACACAACACGGATTTATTAGATGATTTTTTAAAAATATTTATAAATATTGTCACTCATCTAGAAGGGGCTTGTGAAGTTTCGTATATTGATCTAATGTTATTTTTATTTCCTTCATGGTTATTGATTTGGATTCAAATAAAGTAGTTTGTGTGTTTTCAAATAAGGTAGTTTGTGTGTTTTTAATCACATCCATGGTGTGATTTAGAATAATTCTTTAAAGTGTTATACGCTTTTATAAGCCACTGATTTAAAACAATCATTCAGAATCCAAATCCAAGTTACTAGATGAATGAAAAATATAAAAAAGTTCTTTAATTAACTTTAAACTACTAAAAAATGATATACTAGTAATTTTTGTACCTTAATTTATGAATCCAACTCTTATTCATATTTGTCTACTCTAAGTGCTTTTTTACTCTCAATATTATAAGTATATTGAGATATAATCCGTAGTGAATGAGATTTATTCTTTCTAAATCAAATAGATTAACCTCCCTTTTCATATTCTAAGAACTTAAAATGGACATGATGGGACACATCAGGCAGTTTTGTTAATTATCAATTTTTATAATGTATTAATTCTTAGATCTCATAATGGCGGAAGTCTCATGTATGGACTAGTCCTTTTTGTTTGTTTAATTGTTTTAGTTTCACTAACTATACAGATCACACGATTGTAGATATACCATGACCCCTAAGAGACTGATGTGTTCCTTGAGGCAATCGGGATCCCTTTCTCTGCCAAAATTTACATAGCTGCACTCTATCGAAGAGAAGGACTTGAAGCACTAAATATGTCAACTATCTTAATGTACTCTATCATTCCACCACCAAAATCAGCTGGCTGAATTGTACTACATTCTCGCTCTTGATGGTGATATTTACTATATTTTTATTATATATATGTACTTACATTTTATTCCAAATCCACATATTTTTTATCCATATTTGGATGTGTTAGAATTGGATTTTGACGGATCAATACAATATTGGGTAACTATACTACAGGGTTGTAAATTAGAGTTGATTGGGTTGAACCAATTTACATCTAATTTTAATTAGAGCCAAAATAGCACGAGTTCGGATTTTGGTTTTTTTTTTTGGAATTTAAAAATAAAAAATAAATAATAATAATAATAATAATTAGTCAGCTATATGGAATCTGAAAACAATGCGGAAGATTAAATTTAGTTGTCATGAAAAATTGTCTTGTTTAGTGAATCTCAAACCAAAGGAGATTGGTGAAAAAATGATGCACGATTTAAAAGCTTTCCGAATGCCAATATAACACAAACAACCAACCCAGTCTCTACACATACCACATGTGAGTAAACCTACATATTACTTCCTTATTCCATTATTACGGTGAAGCTGGAACATAGTTTACAGGAGCAATGGGCCTGGCACTGTCCCGTCTTCCATCTTTACTACTCAAGGACCTGGCACCATTTTGGTTAACATTCAGAGATAGCCGTCTGCTAGGAGTTCCATTCGCACCGCCATTTGCACGTGGGCCCACCACCTTCTTTGTACCAAGTGGTCTAGCAGGGCTCGGCCTTGAACCAAAAATCGCTTCCTGTTCTGTGTTTAGTTGTTCATGGAACTTCTTTCGATCCTGTACCCTCAAAAGATAACATACTGCAGTATAATAAACACACTTGGACTGGTGATCAGCCACTGAAAGCTAATGTGAGATGAGAATTTATGTCAAGACTAATTAGTACTACTTTGTAAATGGCACTTTATCCCATCTTATTATCTCACTTGCAAATGTTTCGTTTCTCTTCTTCTCTGTCATGCCTGAGAGGCTGAGACATTGCATACTCATCATCTAGCATTGCAAGCAGGGGAACACCATCATAGGTAAATGAGATGCCATGATCTTCTTCCCAAGCCCTTGTCTTGGCAACCAGAGTGTCAACAAGAGCTACATCGCCAAGAAAACCAATCAATAGGAGTTATTTGTGAAAACTCATTTTGTTAAAACCAAGCAAATAGCATATGGTTGCATTTATGAGTTGCTATGTTTGCACTCAATAGACAAAACATGCGTGGATCTATCTCCTAGGCATGAAACTCCCCAATACATCCTTAATGATCAACTTAGAACAAGTGACAAATTTTCACTATTTTTTCAGAAACCATTCATCTCCTTGCCATCTTGTAGCATCCCGTCAATATCATCATCTCCTTGCCATCTTGTAGCATCCCGTCAATATCATCTCCGGATGTCATAATATCTGACAACCCAAACAAGGTCTTCCCACTCCTTTCATCAAAACACCCTGCAGCTCCTCCACATCCATTATAGTTTTTACTCCACTTAAAGCTTGCTGCTCAAATTGCCCTAATGGCTGACAAAACCGACACTTGGTCTCTCAAAATTCCCTAATTTCACCTGGTTCCTACCCAGACCAATGCTCATTTTTCTTTATTTTGCTTACTATCTTCTTTGTTTCATATTTAAGCTTATGTATCTTATTATATATGTCTAAAATCTTCCTGCTTGCAATTAAAGACCTCTCACTGGTCATTAAACTTTAATCCTAATTCAATCAATCTTTGACTTTTGAGGTAAAAAAAGTCTTGATTGAGATTTGTTCAAGTCTCGTAAGCCAAAACAAAATTAAATGCAACAAACTAGTACCTTTTAACTAACATGCAACATTCTCTACTTCATCGACTAAAGGTACCACAACGAGGTTACGAATCTTTGGTGGGTACAAGTGCTTGCGGTCATAGCAACTGGTTATAAATTTCATGAAGTAAAGAAACCTAATAATTCAAGTGCTACAAGGTTAACAGCGAAAATGAAAAGAAAATGAACTAAGAAATACAAGCTTACACTATAAGAAGCACATGCAAGGCAATTAAGAGCCAAGTTTACAAGCTTGAAAGGAAAATACATGGAACATAAATGAAGTTTTGTAAACAGGAAAAGTAAAGGTTTCATAGGAATAACACGATCCCTTTTCCTTCTGTAAATGAGTTCTATTTATAATGTTGAATTACCGTTCATGCGTAGATGAGCACCAAATGTAGGGTGAAGTTAAGAGTTGATGAAAATATATTGTCCATTCATGTATCATCTTCAGCAGATACAGATGTGATGGGGTCATTGAGCGTACGATTGAGATGATAGGTTTGAATTTGAGTTAGATTATGAAGACAATCAAGTGCTTTTTAACCTGTCTTGTTTGTTTAGAGACAATGTTTTGATTTGACAAGAACCACTACGACGGCTAATTGAGTGACTTGAGTTGAATGGCTAAGATCATTGGGAATCTTGGTGACCGAAAATTGCTTTCTTGGCACTTGGTAAACTATTTTGGGCACGTTGTCCATTCATGTATTGTCCTCAGTTGGAAAGGTTAATGTTTCAGAGGAGTAATTATGCAAATGTGACTGATGCATGATCCATTTTCCTTTTGTAAATGCGTTCTATTTATAATAATGAATTGCAGTCCATGCGTGAATGAGCGCCAAATGTAGGTTGAGAGTTGGGTGAAAGCAAGTTGTGTAGGAGTACTCTAATCCAAGGAGAAAGGGGAACACCATGTTGATGGAATTGTAACAAGTATACCAATTTTCTTGGCAGCCAAACAGAGAACTATGACTTCCAATAATGTACAGCACATGGCAAACTAATGTAGTCAAATAGTTTCTCATGTTACCTCCATTAAGTGTTATTTAATCTTCAAAATTCAATTCTCATTAACGTTATATTGCAATAATTTGTATGGAGCTCATCTCAGACCATTCAAATTCCAGTCGTGAAATGCTACATTTTTGACACCCTAAATTCTTGTTAAAAGGGAAAGGAAAATGCTTAACGATGTGAAAATCTAGGTCAGCTGAACAAAATGAAAGAAAATGATAAATAGATGATGAAATAACATAATGTAAATCTACATGCACCTATCAATTGTTTATTTTCTTTTAGCTGAGGTCTATCAACCAACATTTTGAGGCAAATAATGCAAGTGAAGGCCAAAAATGGACGTTTTTATGCCATACCTACTGCCAAGGTACAGTTTGGGATTATAACCCATTAATGCTCTACGAAAGCTTTGTGGCAAATAATGAAATTGAAGGCCAAAAATGGAATGCGACACCAAAACAAGTCAGCAACAACTTTAAAGCTCAAGTCAGCAAAAACATTAAAGCTCAATGAGAGCCAGAACTGAGAAGAGTCTTGTAATTCAATCTATAATTTTGAAAAATCAAAACGTCATTCATAAACCACGGATAAATTTGAGTTGGGTCCAAATTATCAGTCAAAGTTGCGACTAAAACTTTGGTTCCTCCATTGGAGAGCCCTCGAATCATCACAAAGACTCCATGAGAAAGATGCATTTACCGCATTGCATTAGAAGAAACGCCATGGAAACAGAGTAGACACAGCAACATGTCCCCTACCCTAGTAGAGTAGTCTGTTTCCTAGTGCTTACGGAGTTCACAAACGTGGAAATGGCAATTAGGACCACTATTGGGATAAAATGTAAAAGATCGAGGATAGCTGCATTAGAAGACATTTCATGACAACAAGGGAGTCTGCAATATTCATATCCTCCTAAGTAGACGATTTCCGGTAAATAGCATTTACTAGTTAATATCTAAAGCATACTATTGAAACGGCATAAACAACCACGAGCTCATCTCCACAACAGTAACTACCATGCATTGCCATAAATGAAGATCAAGTTTAGAGCACCATAAGCAACAAAGAAAATGTGCAATGCTGAAGAATTTACATACTTGAGAAAGGATTCAGATCTATGGAACAGAAAAGAAATCCAAAGAGTATGATTGATAGAGACATTGTATGTTCTCTAACCAAATTGCATACTCGTTAAACAATTCAACGAAAATATGTTCTTCATCAACCGGGCACACCACCTACTCCATTGCCTAAGGTTCCATTTCTGATCTGCAACATGTAGTGCTCTCCAGATACAAAGCTGCAACAACCATTTTCAATAAAGGTAAAGATTTTCCATACTTAAATCTATATATACAAAGATCTACATAACAAATTATTTAACGAAGACATAAATAAAGACGAATGTTCTACTTAGCAGACAAAGCATGCAGAAGAATTGTATAGCTTAGAGAATATTATGTACTGCTTTAAGTTTATAGTTAAAAACCTAAACCAGGGAGGGGATATTGGCTATGACAATATGACAGTAAGGAATGACAATGACCGTCGCTTGGAAAACCCAAATCCAATAATTAATCCAAATTGAAATGCTAATAGTTTGATGCCACATTTAAATATATTTGGCACTTCACACATATACATCTTCTGCATCACTTAAAATAAAAGATTGAATTTATTACAGTTACAAACATACAAAAAGGGCGGGAGATGTTAGGTGAAATACAAAGGAAGCAGGCTTTGTTCACTGTTATGCATGCTATATAACTAATCAATGTCCACACTATGCAGCAGTGACCCCCCAAAAAACAGAGCAGGCTAATTGGACCGGTCTCAATGATCATAACCACAGACAAAACCAGATGACTTTATGAAGAATCCTAGTTGCAAGCTTGCAGCTGTGCTACCAAAGAGGACGGGTACTTGCCATCTTAATTGCAACCTTGCTGGAAATACATGCATAACCTAGGGAAGAGTACCCTTGAATGCTATATACTACATACAAAGTGAGAACTTTTCTCAGTATTTATAATGACTTTCTGAAATGTTATCATTTCTAAGACCTTTTGTTTTACAGACACAGTTTGAAGCATAAAATATAATTGTATGGCAGATTTCAGTTTTCTTTTTAGTATATGGGTACAATTGGGTTGATTACAATTGTAAAGCAGATTTTGATTTTCATTCTAGTATAAGATTGCAATTGGATCATCAATAAAAAACATTCTAGACTCCAAAGAAGATAACAAGAGGTGGGCATTCATATATAGTTACCCCAAAAAATGCGAGAGGAATCATCATTTCCTAGCCATTAATGCTCATGCTGCAAAATTAGAGCAAAACAATAAGGTGTCAGATATCAATAAAAGGAAAGAAATAAAGCTAAGGTTAGTGTCCAGCAATGCCATAACCACTATGAATCAATTAATCTATCAATTACCCACTAGCAACCTTGTGATCAAAGAAATACTAAAATAATTTTGATTGACCATATAGAAGATCACTAAAAAGTGTAAATTTGTACAGGGCACTATTGTGATATTACAATTAAAATAAGAAGAAGAAGAAGAAGAAGAAGGAATAAAAAATAATCAAATCGCTACCCAAAATGGCTTTTGAGCTCTTTTAATCTAGTAATACAAACAGTATTCAAAATGGCTCAAAAAGCAAAAGCAACGTTTTGGAAGATAATCCAAACAGGCACTAGGCATTCTTCCCAACAATATAGCACAAAATCGTCAACAAATCACATCACATTAAGATCAGTTTGTGCTTTCTTAAAGTTCAGATCATCAGGATAATTCTGATACATACAAGTGGCGAAACTCCAAATAACAAGAAGAATATAAATTATCTTTACACTATTCATCTTGCCATGGGATGTCATTGTGGAATCATGGATTCAAATTCAACCCTCCACTAGAGCAATGGGATGTCACTGTTCACACCTACAATTCTTTAATGAAAGACCCATCAATCCCCCTATTTGCTATTTCATTCTCAATGTAAGTCCAAAACAGTGAATATGCGAATAGAGAAACATAATCTTCTTTGCAATTGACATATCCAAATTCAAGTGTTAGTAAAAGTAAGACATCAACATAGAAAAAGGACAAAAAAAGAATATAAAGGAAAAAAGAGAGTATAAAATAAAGACAACACAAAGAAAAACAATTGCAATTTGAGAGATGCATAGAAAATCTTATACCAGATTCGAAACATACTGGAAACTCCTTGTTTGCTTCCCATTACCAAAAACAGTCAATGGCTCCTTCCTTAGGGCAAGCATTGTTATAGTCATAGGTTTTACTACTATCACTACTTATTTCATATTAAGTCCTAAGCTGCAGCGAAAAAGGGTGACTGATTCGTATACCGTCAAATGGATACTTCTCTACACTTAGCCAAGTTTTATGTTTCCATTTGTGCAAAAATCTACATTAGTGATATCATTTCAATTGTCCTCTATTCCTTTTAAGACTTTGGTAACCACAATATGTTGACCATAATATCTATACTTCGTTTGCCACCAGCAAAGAAAAGAAACAATAAACATTTGTCATTAAACAAAATTCAAGTAGAAGAGAGGTGGCAAATCAAGCTGCTTGAGGTGACAAACATTTATTAAAAATAAATGTACCCTTGAAAATGATTAGGGAGTGCAATGCACCTATCCTTAAACATTAACAATCCACACCCAATTAGAGGAACAACTTTACCATAGTTTACAGAACATCTCACCTTGGTGCTGTCTCTGTGGACGCATCGCGGCCCTTCGCACTGGAGCTGAAATTCAACAGAAAATTTGAAGACAATTTAACAATAGAAGATACTAACAACTAAATACCAATATCTCACCTAGCTCACCTCTTTGTGCCAGAGTCTGTGTGTCTGGAGCATCCTGGGCACGATGCTCAATATAACCTTCGATGCAAAGCAAGAGAAAGGTGTAGATGGATAAAGCCCCAAAAGCCAAGCAGGGGTACTCCAAGTCCGCGTAGAGATGAAATGAGAAAAAGATGACGATATAGAGTAATCTATCGGTTGGGGTATACGACAGCCCGGGGCGGAGAAGGGTGGCCATGGCCAGGGAATAAAGTGCCAGTAGAGCTTGTGCCACAACAATTTGCCAGTCAAGTAGGTTAGAGTTGGTGTTCAATGTTTTGAGAGAGGATGGAGGAACTAAAATTGGCTCGTTACACCCACCTAAGATCAAGTCAAGTATGTTAGGATTAGGGTTCAATGTAAGGGAGGATGATGGATCTAAAATTTGCTGCCCAGTGAAGCTCAATTCCGGCAGCATGGATGAAACACCTAAAGGATTGGTGCAGTTGAAGATATAGTAATCGAATCCAGGAGAAGGAGAGACGTAGTGACGTCTTGACCCAGATACCTGATATGTGATAAGCCCGGTGAAAATCATGGAGAGCCAGTCGGCAGTGGCCTTGAAGATCATGCCGGAGAAGAATTGGCGGGGGTGAAAAGGTCGCCTCATGCGGAGAATCACAGTGACAGCGAGATGGGCGATGAAGAGCAGGATCGGAAGCCATATCGGGTGGAACCCTAAGTGGTGATCCAGCTTCGAACCCCTAAAGGCAACGTAAACGCCGATCAACGAGACATTTGCCGCCACCAGACTCAGATTCCTAACTAGCCGCTCAAATTTTTTCCAAACTTGTCGGCGTTCACGCTCACCACCACGTCCGGCGATGAGCGGAGTTTTAGACGAGTAGTTTCCAGTGCAACGGGTGACTTTCCTGGTCATTTTTTCGACACTCGAGAGAACTAACGACGCTTGTTAATATCTTATTGAGTAATGCTACTTTAGGAGTCCCTCCCTTGTCATATGAAGAGCTCTACTTTGTTGAACCACTGATTTGTTTGACTTTTCAAATATCTCAACAAAACAGTCGGTTATATAAAAAGAGAACTCACGTTTGAGCGCTATCCTGCAATTAACAAATCATCTATCAAGCCATGTGAACCAGATTTTATGTAATTGGGTGTATTTTAGATCAAAACAATTGATAAGTATATATAAAAATTACACATTAAACCATGAAAGATAAAAGTCAAAACTTCCGTTATTAGAGACAGGGCCAGTCAATAATTGTGCGCCTGTGCAGTGTGCTTAAGAGTTGAGACAACTAAATAATAACTATAAATTTTTATCACCACCAATAAATAATTGTGCGCCTGTGCAGTTTGCATAAGACAACTAACTAATAACTATAAATCTATTATCACCAATAAATAATTATGCGCATGTGCAATGTGCATAAAACAACTAACTAATTACAATAAATCTATCAATTTAGGAGTGCGAAATTTTCAAAGGCACAAAATAAAATTGAAGAGAACAGTTTACTAGAGAACAGAAAACTGCAGCTTCTTTTACATTCATTGTTTATATAGCTACTAAAATTTGATGATTACAGATGACAAAAATATGTGGAGATGAGGTGACTATAAGGAGGCTGAACTTGTAGTACTGAAGAAGTAGTGGGACTTTTAAGTTATATGTGGCATCCACTATCATATATAGTTTTGTCTTTCACTCTTTGTATTAACTACACTCACGTTGTGTTTGGTTTTTTTTTGGGAGCCAATTACCCCTTTCTTGATTTCAGGATGAGGAATCAACTTTAGTAGCAGTGACTGGTTGATCATTGCTACAGAAGACCTGTGCAAATTAATAGAAAAACCATTAACTTTTGTTTTGTTAAAGCCTGCTCTTGATTTCCATGTGTTTGTACATTCTGATGGCAAGTGCTTTGACAGTATTATTAACTGAAATTCTAGCTGAGCCAACTTCAAATAACATCAATAATGGTGGTATGTATCTTCATATAAAAATAAAATATAAAAAAAAAAACCCTTAATTTGGCACTTTTAAGTATAAGCATAATTTAGAGATCGAAAAAGTTAATTATTACCACAACGGCTCAACCCAGAAGGGATCCTTAATTTTCGTAGGATTGAATGTGAAAATGCAAAAACTTATGAGGACAAGGGGTATGATTGCTGCTGTTGTGAGATTGGAGTGGAATTAGGGAGAGGAAAAAAAAAAAAAAAAAAAAGTGCCTGCCATAGATTATGGACTCGATCGCCATGAAAGACACGTGTAGAAAGGCACACATTTATAAAAATACTAAGAGAACCATAATATATTCATTCAGCTTTTGATAGCCATCACACACAGTGACACACACACACAAAAAACCCTAGTTTGGAAGCTACTTTTCACTATTGGAACAAAGGTAAAGGCCCGAATCAAACGAACCAAAATTAGAACAAATCAAATGATGAGATGAACGAAAGAAAGAAACATATATAAAAGATCGATTCATGCAAAAGGAGAGGGAAGAGAGAGAGGATGAACATGCCTTGTCACCTGAGGCGATAGTGGAGGCTGTGCCCGGCGGAGTGTCGAAGCAGATTGTGTCGTCTGAGACTTGCCCCAACTTAATTTTTTTTATTTTTTTTCCATCCCCTATGGGCCTCAAAATTTGACACCTCTAAAATTTGAGGCCCAAGGCGACCAAGACTTGTCCAAACATAATTTTTTTTTTTTATCCCTTTTGGGCCTCAAATTGGCCCTCTAAAATTTGAGGCCCAAGGTCGCCTTGGGCCAGGGCCGGCCCTGATTAGAGATTAGGGTTTGTTTGAAAGAGACCGTTAAATTAGGATTTGATTTGTATCTTTTTGAGTTGATGTGGTAATCATTCAAATTTTTTAATTTTTATCATTTTTTATTTTAGGACACTTGTCACATTACCTTTTTGCGTCAGATCAATCAAGGTAATCATGAACTTGAACTTCCTATTCACCGGTAAGTAGGGAAGTATTATCCTTTAAATATATGCATGGTATATATGTATTTTAAAATTAAGTATCATTATATAATTTTACACCTTACTATTGGTAATATACCTTTTAGTCGAAACTCAAACGTCTCTGGTTCGATTGTCTGTGCATTTCTCTCCGTCTCTGTAAGAATGTTTCTATGTCAAATATTTTATGAATGTAACCATAAATTAAAAAAATAAAATTAGTATTATTATTGTGAACCTTAGAGTAACACTTTCGAGCACTTACTTCAATGATACTTCTTAGACACTAATGAATGTGTTCCCTGCAAATGAATATGGTGTAAGCGTGTTAGCTCATTACAATTTCACAAAATTTCATTTTTTTAAGAATATTAGAATAACTCTCAGTATAAAGTTAGAAAATAATTAAAGTTCTGTAATAGTCTTAGCAGTAGATATATATAAGTTAAGATTTATATTTGTTTATTTTCATATCCACGCCTTTTTAGTTGGCGTTTCATGTCCATATTTGTGCTACTTATATCTTGATTGAAGTAGGGTTATTGTCGTAGTATGCCAGCATAGGAGAGAAATCTAGCAGTCCAACAACTGCTTCTTTCAACCAGTGACCTATAGTCATTTGCACCGAGTCTAGTGGAAAATTAAAGGCAGCCCTATTGATTATGTAGGCCTGTGTCCCTTTTGGGATATTGACCAGTTTACACTAACTCCGTTGTACTGCAACAGCAACCGATACTGCGAATCATGATTGAATATAAATATGAGACTTTTGGAGGGGTTGACCAGAAAAACCACAGAAGGTACTAATGGTATCAGTAATGACAGAGAGGGAAAGGGGATCACCATGGCAATAGAACATTAGATTATATGCAAAAATAAGGTGAGAAAGCTTGGTATTCTTGCAATTTCAGCTAGGGCTGTAAGTTGGGTGGGTTCAACCTGGCCCAGTCCCAACCCAACCTCAACCCGAATCGGGTTGGATTGGGCTAACCCGAATTATACTTAACATGGGCTATAGTAAAAACCCAGCCCGAATATTTTTGGGCCGGTCGGGTCGGGTTGACTGGTTGACTTTTTAAAAATTATATATATATTTTTTTGAAAATATATATATTATTAAAAAACAAAAAAAATTTAGGGCAAATCATTTCAGCCTCCCCTGTCTCATTCTCAACTCTCTCTCTCTCCAACTTCAAACTACAAAATCTACAAGAATCAGAAGTTCAAAATCCATATATTTCAGATCGTCTGCAAGAATCAAAAGTTCAAAATTCATATATTTCAGATCATTTCAGATTGTTCAAAAAATCAAAACCCATATGTTTCAGTTTCCATCGCCGGCTGTTCCAGTTCTTGCCGTTCGCAAGCTTCAGCCGTCTCAAGCTTGCCCCTCTCTCTCTGCAATTGCTAACTTGTATGTATGGGTTTTGTTTTTATTTTTGGAAGTGACGGCGGCGGCGGTGGATCGGCTGAGGACGGCGGCAGAGAGAGAGAGAAAGAGAAAGAAGAGAAAAGAAAAGAGAAAGTGAAAAAAAAAAAAAAAATTCGGGCAGAGAGAGAAAGAGAAAGAAGAAAGAAGAAAGAGAAAGAGAAAGAGAAAGAAGAGAGAGGAGAGAGAAAAAAAAAAAAAAAAAATTTCGGGCAGAAAGAAGAAAGAGAAAGGGAAAGAAGAGAGAGGAGAGAGAGAAAAAAAAAAAATTTCGGGCAGATAGAAGAAAGAGAAAGAAAAGAGAGGAGAGAGAAAATAAATTTCGGGGAGGAGAGAGAAAAGAGAAAAAAAAAAAAAAAAAATTAATTTTGGGTTTTGGGTTGGGTTCGGGTTGAGCCCGAGCCCAACCCGAATTGTCTGGGTTTTGACAAAACCCAACCCGAGTATGAACCCGATTTGTAAATTGCGTGTTCAAATTTTAAAATTTTTGAGTTGGGGTTGAGCTGGGCTGGGCTAACCCGCCCAACTTGCAGCCCTACTTTCAGCGGTATTTGAGCAAAAGTAAGGTGAGGGACTTTTTTCACTCACTTTTTGTTCATACGAGACTTGGACCCTCACCTTCTATTTTGGAAGGAGATGAAGAATCACTAAATTACAATGCCCTTGATGACTTCTCTCAAACTTCAATATGAATCCAAACTCATGGTTTTCCATCTAAACCAAAATTGAAAATAAAAAATATATATATATGTGCAAAAAAAAAAAATCTATGCTGAAAAGCTTTTATGTTTCACATTAACTGGATGCATAAACTAACTCTTCTTCATTTCATTCAGTATGGATGCTAGTCGCAGTCACACTTCGATGCATCAACTATCTCTTATTCAGTTCCATTCAGTTTGTATGCTAGCCTTAGACACACACCTGCTTATTTTAGAAATGAGTTTCATTTTCTTTTTTATAATTATTGATGAATTTTATGTATTTTGATGTATTACTTCCTTGAAATATTGGAAGAAACTAAAATGGAGTGAATCCAATATAGGTGATGAATTATTGGAAGCTTTTATGCAGATTTGTGTGACTTCTAAAAAAGAGATGGCACGAAGAGGAGGCGGCAAGGGGTGTGCCCCATCATAGGAGGGTGCTGTGTTCCTTGAGGCAATAGGGATCCCTTTCTCTACCAAAATTTACATAGCTGCAGGCGAAATCTATGGAAGACTCAAATCACTACATGGGAAGTATCCTAATGTACTCTATCATTCCACTTTGGCAACAGAAGAGGAGTTAAAACCTATCAAGCGGTACCAAAATCAGCTGGCTGCATTGGACTACATTCTCGCTCTTGAGAGTGATATTTTTATGTACACACTTTCTCTACTATATTTCTACTATATTTTTATTATATATATGTACTTATATTTTATTCCAAATCCATATATTTTTATCCATATTTGGATCGGTTGAATTGGATTTTGGCAGATTAATACAATATTGGGCAACTACACTATAGGGTTGTAAATTAGGGTTAGATTGAGTTGAACCAAGTTACTTCTAATTTTAATTAGAGCCAAAATAGCATTGAGGTCTGATTTTCATGTCAGCTCTAGCAATGGAAGGTGTTATAGTCTCTTTGGTCAGCTATTTGGAATCTGAAAACAATGCGGAAGATTTTGTTTTGTTTTTAGTGAATCTCAAAGAAAGGAGATTGGTGAAAAAATGATGCAGTGCCAAATTTGGCCAGCCTTCATTTGAACATTGATGTTCACTCTTTCATCTTAATAATTCTTCTTGTTGGGTTAAAAAAAAAAGGTTTCGCATTAGTTCAAACAACACTCCTTCAGCTGTAATATAGAAGTTGATTAATATAGAAATGATTGAATTTTTACTTCAATTTGAAAGAATCTCATGGCTTTCTAATAAAGCAATCCAAGATTTCTTGAACTATTCTTGTTGTTTTGATGCTGCTTATGATATCAAGAACAAGGCATAGAAAGTATTTTCAAATTTATCACTTTCCTAAATTAAAAAATAAAATGAGTGTAAGGATATCTTTTCTAATGTACATCACCCACTCTTTTATTTTTAGCTCCATCTCCTCTCACTTTTTGGATGGAAGCAAAATGGTGAGACAGGAGGAATGACTCATCCCTCCATTCTTTCCTTTCTCCCTCTTCTTGTCTCTTCACTACAGAAGAAGTCTGCTCCTCCTTTCCCATCTACCCTCCACCACTTTTCCTACCAAACAGAACCCAACATCTCTCTCTCTCTCATTATTGGAGAACAAAAATGTTAAAATGCAACAAAAGCACCAACCAGACTTCTAGGATGGAGTTCAGTGCCAACCCCGTAATAATTAGAACAAGGGACTCAAGCAACAACTTAGATCTCGAGCAAAAAAAGGAAGAAGCACGATTTAAAAGCTTTCCGAATGCCAATATAACACAAACAACCAAACCCAGTCTCTACACTACCTCAATGTTCAAAGATGTATCCCTATTGCAGCAACTACACTGGTAATAACAATCACATACCACACGTGTGTAAACCTACAGATTACTTCCTTATTCCATTATTATGGTGAAGCCAGAACCGGCTCAGTGCCAGAAACGTGAGATGCAGCATCCTCTTTCGAAATGGCAACATAGTTCACAGGAGCAATGGGCCTGTCACTGTCCCGTCTTCCATCTTTACTACTCAAGGACCTGGCACCATTTTGGTTAACATTCAGAGATAGCCGTCTGCTAGGAGTTCCATTCGTACCACCATTTGCACGTGGGCCCACCACCTTCTTTGTACCAAGTGGTCTAGCAGGGCTCGGCCTTGAACCAAAAATCGCTTCCTGTTCTGTGTTTAGTTGTTCATGGAACTTCTTTTGATCCTGTACCCTCAACAGATAACATAGTATAAGAAACACACTTGGACTGGTGATCAGCCACTGAAAGCTAATGTGAGATGAGAATTTATGTCAAGACTATTTAAGTACTATTTTGTAAATGGCATTTGATCCTATCTTATTATCTCACTTGGCAAATGTCAATCAATTTGTTGGGCTTACCCTCATCCTTCGTTTTTCTTCTTCTCTGTCATGCCTGAGCATTGCATACTCATCTAGCATTGCAAGCAGGGGAACACCATCATAGGTAAATGAGATGCCATGATCTTCTTCCCAAGCCCTTGTCTTGGCAACCAGAGTGTCAACAAGAGCTACATCGCCAAGAAAACCAATCAATAGGAGTTATTTGTGAAAACTTATTTGTTAAAATCAAGCAAATACCATATGGATGCATTTATGAGTTGCTATGTTTGCACTCAATGGACAAAACATGCGCGGATCTGTCTCCTAGGCATGAAACTGAACAATACATCCTTAATGACAACCTTCTAACAAGTGACAAATTTTCACTATTTTTTCAGAATAATGACAACCATTCATGATCTAAATAAAGTGTTAAGCCTCTCTCTCCAATCATCTCCTTGCCATCTTGTAGCATCCCGTCAATATGTTACATGGTTTCAGATTTAAGCGTCTCCGGATGTCGTAATATCTGACAACCCAAACAAGGTCTTCCCACTCCTTTCATCAAAACACCACCCTGTAGCTCCACATCCATTATAGTTTTTACTCCACTAAAAGCTTGCTGCTCAAATTGCCCTAATGGCTGACAAAACCGACTCTTGGTCTCTCACAATGCCCTAATTTCACCTTGTTCCGACCCAGACCAATGCTCATCTTTCTTAATTTTGCTTACTATCTTCTTTGTTTCATGTTTAAGCTTATGTATCTTATTATATATGTCTAAAATCGTCCTGCTTGCAATTAAAGACCTCTCAATGGTCATTAAACATTAATCCTAATTCAATCAATCTTTGATTTTTGAGGTAAAAAAAAGTCTTGATTGAGATTTGTTCAAGTCTCGTAAGCCAAAACAAAATCAAATGCAACAAACTAGTACCTTCTAACTAACATGTAACATTCTCTACTTCATTGACTAAAAGTAGTACAAGGAGGTTTGGTGGGTACAAGTGTGTGGGGTCATAGCAACTGGTCATAAATTTCATGAAGTAAAGAGACCTAATAATTCAAGTGTTACAAGGTTTACAGCGAAAATTAAAAGAAAATGAACTAAGAATACAAGCTTACACTATTAGAAGCACATGCAAGGCAATTAAGAGCCAAGTTTACAAGCTTGAAAGGAAAATACATGGACTATAAACGAAGTTTTGTCCACTGGAAAGGTAAAGGTTTTAGAGGAGTAAACTGTCTTATCTGTTTAGAGATGGTGTTTTGATTTGACAACAATCACTACGACGGCTAATTGAGTGAATTAGAGTCGAATGGCTAAGACATTGGGAATCTTGGTGACCGAAAATTGCTTTCTTGGCACTTAGTTAACTATTTTGAGCACGTTATCTATTCATGTATTGTCTTCGTCTGGAAAGGTTAATGCTCCAAAGGAGTAATTATGCAAATGTGACTGGTGCATGATCCATTTTCCTTTTATAAATGAGTTCTATTTATAATGATGAATTGCAGTCCATGCATGAATGAGTGCCAAATGTAGGGCCAAGTTGAGAGTTGGGTGAGAGCAAGTTGCGTAGGAGTACTCTAATCTAAGAAGAAGGGAACACTATGTTGATGGAATTGTAACAAGTAGAACAAATTTCTTGGCAGCCAAACAGAGAACAATGACTTCCAATAATGTACAGCACATGGCAAACTAATGTAGTCAATTGTTTCTCATGTTACCTCCAATAAGTGTTATTCAATCCATGAATCTCTTTCAAAATTCAATTCTCATTCACGTTATATTGCAATAATTTGTATGGAACTCATCTCAGACCATTCAAATTCCAGTTGTGAAATGCGACATTTTTGACACCCTAAATTCTTGTTAAAATGGAAAGAAAATGCTTTACGATGTGAAAATATAGGTCAGCTGAACAAAATGAAAGAAAATGATAAATAGGTGATGAAATAATATAATGTAAATCTACATGCACCTATCAATTATTTATTTTCTTTTATCTGAGGTCCATCAACCAACATTTTGAGGGCGGTTGCATTTTTTGGCTTAAAATGGACGTTTTTATACCAAACCTACTGCCTACAGTTTGGGAATATAACCCATTCTGCTCTATGAAAGCTTTGTGGCAAATAATGAAATTGAAGGCCAAAAATGGAATGCGACACCAAAACAAGTTAGCAACAACTTTAAAGCTCAATGAGAGCAAGAACTGAGAAGAGTCTTGTAATTCAATCTATAATTTTGAAAAATCAAAACTACATTCAAAAACCACGGGATGATGATACATGGTTCTCCACATTTGAGTTGGGTCCAAATTATCAGTCAAAGTTGCGACAAAAACTTTGGTTCCTCCATTGGAGGCCCCTCGAAGCATCAGAGAGACTCCATGAGGAAGATGCATTTACCACATTGCATTAGATGAAACGCCACGGAAAAAGAGGAGACACAGCAACATGTCCGCTCACCCTAGTAGAGAGCATGTTTCCTAGTGCTTACCGAGTTCACAAACATGGAAATGGCAATTAGGATAAACTGCAAAAGCTCGAGGAAAGCTGCATTAGAAGACATTTCTTGACAACAAGGGCGTCTTCTGCAATATTCATATCCTCCTAAGTAGACGATTTCCGGGAAACAGCATTTACGAGTTAATATCGAAAGCATACTATTGAAACGTCATAAACAACCACGAGCTCATCTCCACAACAGTAACTACCATGCATTGCCATAAATGAAGAGCAAGTTTAGAGCACCATAAGCAACAAAGAAAATGGGCAATGCTTAAGAATTTACATACTTGAGAAAGGATTCAGATCTAGGGAACAGAAAATGGGCAATGCTTAAGAATGTATGATTGCTAGAGACATTGTACATTCTTTAACCAAAATGCATACTCGTTAAACAATTCAACCAAAATATGTTCCATCAACTGGGCACACCACCTACTCCATTGCCTAAGGTTCCATTTCTGATCTGCAACATGTAGTGCTATCCAGATACAAAGCTGCAACCACCACTTTCAATAAAGGTAATCTTTGAGCTTACCTGAAGATTTTCCATACATAAATCTATATATACAAAGATCTACATAACAAATTAGTTAACGAAGACATAAATAAAGCCGAATGTTCCACTTAGCAGACAAAACATGCAGAAGAATTGTATAGCTTAGAGAATATTATGTACTGCTTTAAGTTTATAGTTAAAAACCTGAACCAGGAAGGGGATATTGGCTATCACAATATGACAGCAAGGAATGACAATGACCGTCGCTTGGAAAACCCAAATCCAATAATTGATCCAAATTGAAATGCTATTATAATAGTTTGATGCCAGATTTAAATATACTTGGCACTTAACACATTTATATCTTCTGCATCACTTAAAATAAAAGATCGAATTTATTACAGTTCCAAACATACAAAAAGGGGCGGGAGATGTTAGGTGAAATACAAAGGCAGCAGGCTTTGTTCACTGTTATGCATACTATATAACTAATCAATGTCCAACATATGCAGCAGTGACCCCCCAAAAAACAGAGCAGGCTAATTGGATCAGTCTCAATGATCACAACCACAGACAAAACCAGCTGACTTTCTGAAGCATCCTAGTTGCAAGCTCGCAGCTGTGCTACCAAAGATGACGGGTACTTGCCATCTTAATTGCAACCTTCCTGGAAATACATGCATAACCTAGGGAAGAGTACCCTTGAATGCTATAGACTACATACAAAGTGAGAACTTTTTTCAGTATTTATAATGACTTTCTGAAATGTTATCATTTCTAAGACCTTTTGTTTTACAGACAGAGTTTGAAGCATAACATATAATTGTATAGCAGATTTCAGTTTTCTTTTTAGTATATATGGGTACAATTGGGTTCGATTACAATTGTATAGAAGATTCTGATTTTCATTCTAGTATAAGATTGCAATTGGATCATCAATAAAAAACATTCTAGACTCCAAAGAAGATAACAAGAGGTGGTCATTCATATATAGTTACCCCAAAAAATGCAAGAGGAATCATCATTTCCTAGCCATTAATGCTCATGCTGCAAAATTAGAGCAAAACAATAAGGTGTCAGATATCAATAAAAGGAAAGAAATAAAGCCAAGGTTAGTGTCCAGCAATGCCATAACCGCTATGAATCAATTAATCTATCAATTACCCACTAGCAACCTTGTGATCAAAGAAATACTAAAATAATTTTGATTGAACATACAGAAAACTAAAGTGTAAATCTGTACAGGGCACTATTATGATATTACAATTAAAATAAGAAGAACAAGAAGAAGGAATAAACAATAATCAAATAGCTACCCAAAATGGCTTTTGAGCTCTTTCAATCTAGCAATACAAATGGTATTCAAAATGGCTTTTGAGCTCAAAAAGCAAAAGCAACGTTTTGGAAGATAATCCAAACAGGCACTAGGTATTCTTCCCAACAATATAGCAGAAAATCGTCAACAAAAAGAATCATTTCACGTCATATTAAGATCAGTTTGTGCTTTCTTAACGTTTGGATCATCGGGATAATTCTGATACATACAAGTGGAGAAACTCCAAATAACAAGAAGAATATAAATTATCTTTACACTATTCATCTTGCCATGGGATGTCACTGCGGAAACAAGGATTCCAATTCAACCCTCAACTAGCGTAATGGGATGTCACTGTTCACACCTATTTGCTATTTCATTGTCAATGTAAGTCCAAAATAGTGAATATGCGAATAGAGAAACATAATCTTTCTTTGTAATTGACATATCCAAATTCAAGTGTTAGTAAAAGTAAGACATCAACATAGAAAAATGACAAAAAATTAAAAGAAATAAAAAAAGAGAGTATAAAATAAAGACAACATAAAGAAAAACAATTGCAATTTGAGAGATGCATAGAAAAACTCATAACAGATTCAAAACATATTGGAAACTCCCTGTTTGCTTCCCATTGCCAAAAACGGTCAATGGCTCCGTCCTTAGGGCAAGCATTGTTATAGTCATAGGTTTTACTACTATCACTACTTATTTCAAATTAAGTCTTAAGCTGCAGCGATAAAGGGTGACAGATTCGTATACCGTCAAATGGATAGTTCTCTATATTTAGCCAAGTTTTATGTTCCCATTTGTTCAAAAATCTACATTAGTGATATCCTTTCAATTGTCCTCCATTCCTTTTAAGACTTTGGTAACCACAATGTGTTGACAGTAATATCTATACTTCTTTGCCACCAACAAAGAAAAGAAACAATAATCATTTTTTCATTAAACAAAATTCAAGTAGAGGAGAGGTGGCAGATCAAACTGCTTGAGGTGACAAACATGTATTAAACATAAATGTACCCTCGAATGTGATTAGGGAATGGAATGCACTGACCATTAAACATTAACAATCCACACCCAATTACCATAGTTTATAGAACTTCTCACCTTGGTGCTGTCTCTGTGAGCGCATAGCGGCCTTCGCACTGAAGCTGAAATTCAACAGAAAATTTGAAGATAATTTAATAATAGAGGATACTAACAACAAAATACCAACATCTCACCTAACTCACCACTCTGTGCCAGAGTCTACGTGTCTGGAGCATCCTGGGCACGATGCTCAATATAACCTTAAGAAAAGGGTGTAGATGGATAAAGCCCCAAAAGCCAAGCAGGGGTACTCCGAATCCGCGTAGAGACGAAATGAGAAAAAGATGAAGATACAGAATAATCTATGGGTTGGGGTATACGACAGCCCGGGGCGGAGGAAGGTGGCCATGGCCAGGGTAGAGCTTGTGCCACAACAATTTGCCAGTCAAGTAGGTTATAGTTGGTGTTCAATGTTTTGAGAGAGGATGGAGGAACCAAAATTGGCTCGTTACACTCACCTAAGATCAAGTCAAGTAGGTTAGGGTTAGGGTTCAATATTGAGAGAGAGGATGATGGATCTAAAATTTTCTACCCAGTGAAGCTCAATTCCGGCAGGTATGAAACACCTAAAGGATTGGTGCAGTTGAAGATATAGTAATCGAATCCAGGAGAAGGAGAGACGTAGTGACGTCTTGACCGAGATAACGGCAGTGGGCTTGAAGATCACGCCGGAGAAGAATAGGTGGGGGCGAAAAGGTCCCTCATGCGGAGAATCACAGTGACAGCGAGATGGGCGATGAAGAAAAGGATCGGAAGCCATATCGGGTGGAACCCTAAGTGGTTATCCAGCTTCGAACCCCTAAAGGCAACGTAAACGCTGATCAACGAGACATTTGCCGCCACCAGACTCAGATTCCTGACTAGCCGCTCCAATTTTTTCCAAGCTTGTCGCCGTTCACGCTCACCACCACGTCCGGCGATGAGGGGAGTTTCAGACGAGTAGTTTCCAGTGCGACGGGCGACTTTGCCGGTCATTCTTTTCGACACTCGAGAGCCCTAACGACCCTTGTTAATGTCCTATTGAGTAATGCTACTGCAGGAGTCCCTCCCTCGCCATATGATGAGCTCTTCCAGTCGGTTATATATAAAAAGAACTCACGTTTGAGCGCTTACATAGTAGTATTACTCCCCCGAGTCGGTTAGGCTAAGGAGCTTGGGCCTGGGCTCCTGTCTACTCTGTGGAGTGTAGACTCACAGATGATGGGGTCTGTTTGGGCTGTGTAGCTTGACAACAAATAGGAAGATTATTTTTTGAACATGCCGGTCTCAAAAATTGTTTGTCATATAACCATTATATACGATAGAATATTTTAAAAATTATTATTATTTTTTGAATATATAATTAGGTTATTAGAGAGTAATTGCTGAAATTGTCCAGTCCAAATGGCCAATTTAAGGGTAAAGACTTGGAAAAAAAAAAAATAGGAAATGTTCTTCTAGTCCTGTAGAGACATAAATATATTTTTTTAAAAAAACTATGGATTAAGATCCTTTAAGTTAAAATCTCTCTACATTATCTTAAGTAAGAAAGTCCTATAGAGACATAAATCTATTTTTTTTTTTTTAAACTACGGATTAAGATCCTCTAAGTTAAAATCTCTTTATATTATCTTAAGTTGAATTGTTATGATTTTAACATGTGTCATTTAACCTAAATGTGAGTTAACAACGCTACACATAATTTAGTGATTAAAAAGGCTTGAAACGAACAAAATTTGAGGAAGAAAAACTAAATACTGTCAGTAGACAGCTTTAGGTTTCCAACAACTCGTCCGTCTCTACCAATATTCTTGGTTTGATTTTATTTCTATTCATTTTAGGCAACTAGATTCTCCAATGTCTTCACCTTTTATTGTTTTTCTTCTATTCTAATTCTTTTTTATATTTAAACCGCTCCTTCCAATTTCCTCTCACTGAACATAAAGCTAGAGAGAGGAACAAGTGGGGGACGGTTTGTAACAACGAAGAACCCACTAATTTTAGGCATAAGAAATCAAAAAAAAAAAAATGTAGAGTTGAAGAAGTTTTAGCTTTCATTAGTGACGTTTTTCTGTTCATTGGTTAAACAACTTTAGTTTTTATTTTTAATTTGCTAACAACATTATGAGTCATAGATTTGTGATAAAGGCCACATTCTCAAAGTTTATGAGATTCAATTTAAGATGATGTAAAGAAGTATTAACTTAGAGATCCTAGTCCACCACATACCATCTCACTTTACAATATTTAACTTTTAAAATTCATTTATCAGCTTTACGAGTCAATATCTAAAGCATACTATCGAAACAGAATAATGCTAGAAGAGAATGCAGTAGTTGAACAAGTTTTATACATTTATTTTTTTTAATCTCAAATATGTAAACCTTTTGAACACTTTTAATGAATTATTAATTATCAAAATGTAAACCTTTAATTCAGAAAAATAAATCAGATTTATTAGAAGTTTTTTTTTGAGCAACAACTGAACTTTCTGTGAGTAGTCAAAGATTCAAGTCAACCCTTAACCAGAATAATGGAACGTCACTGTTCACACCTACAATTCTTCAATAAAAAGTGGTATGCGTGTGATCATCTAATTAATGCATTTGTACAACAAATGGATTGTAATTCTAAGATTTCAATGATGTTGAAAAAATCTATTTCTGGTGTTCAAATTTTATTTATTTTTTATTTTACTTTTTTCTCAAAGTATTACATTATTTAGCATTTAGTTGAATAGTCCTTCCAAATTAAAGCACCGGATAGTATATATAAATGATAATACTTGTCTACTTATCAATGCATAGGAAGTTCCTACTTACTTTGATGTGCCGCAAAATTAGTGGAACACGTGTTCGGGGACAAACCCAAAAAAATTATGCGAGGGGAAATATAATAAATTTTTTAAATAATTTTAGGGGGGCAATAGTAATTTTTCGAGGGATATACTTGAAAAAAGCATATTAGCAAGGTTATATTGCTAAAAAAAATAAAATCAAAAGGGGCAATTGCCCGTGCTTGCTATAGCTCTGTCTCGTGTTCCTACAACATAAAATAATAAAGAATAAAAGATTTGAGAGGTTATCCAAATTAAATCCAAATCTAACTCTCTTTCCCCCTCTTTCTCACGCTACTTTGGTTTTCTCTTCTTGTCAAGAGAGTGAATTAAAAGGGGATCTTGTCGGAAAAAAACAAAAAAATAAAAAAACAAAAAAATATTATAATCTAAAATTCTTAAATAAAATAATATTACAAGATACAAACAAAGTTAAATAAAAAAAATAACCATAAATATAATAATAGATAGATATTTCTTTTCCGCCAAAAGAAAAAAAAAAAAAAAAAAAAAGAAGACAAGAAATAAGTAATAACAATTTATCTTGCAATCAACAAATCATCTATCAAGATGATTTGGTGTACTTGATAAAAACAATTGATAAGTATATATTAGAATTACACATTAGACCATGAAAGATAAAAGTCAAAACTTCCGGTATTAACATATTAGGGTTTTAGCTAGTCTGAGAGAGAAAGAGAAAGGATTAAATTAGGATTTGATTTACATCCTTTTGGGTTGATTCGGTAAGCATTCAATTTTTTTAATTTTTATTATTTTTTATTTTAGTACACTTGTCACATTACTTTTGCGGCCACATTAAGGGTAATCATGAACTTCCTACTCACCGATAAGTAGAGAAATATTATCGGGAAGGGACAAGATTTGCCTACTCACTAGTGAGTAGGTCATCCAAACTCACCGCTGATATGATCTAATCACAAATATACAAATAGTTTGTAATTAGACTAGACAAATATACAAATAGTTTGTAATTACAAAATTTGAAATATGATAAATAATAAAATCAGATAGGGTGATTAAATTTATTCCAAAAAAATATTATTGTCTTTATATATCAGTTTCCTAATTTGTAATTACGAACTCTTTGTGCATTTGTGATTAAAACACATTAGCAGTAAGTAAGAATGACCTACTCAACGATGAGTAGACAAGTTTTGTCCATCGGAAAGTCTCTACCATACACATCCCGTATCTCAATTTTACTGCAAGACTTTGTTAGAATTTACTTGATTTTACTTACAAAATATATATATATATATATATATATATATATATATATATATATATATATATATATTACTTAGATTTTTAAATATATGCATGGTACTATTAATTTGCATTATATATATGTATTTTAGAATTAAGTATCATTATATAATTTTACACCTTAAAATTGGTAATATACCTTATAATTGAAACTCTAACGTCTGATTCGATTTTCTGTGCAAACTCAAAAGATTAATAATGTTTCTTGATTAGGGTTTTGGATAATTTCTCTCTATGTCCATTTTATGAATTTAACCATAAATTAACGAAAAATAATTATTATTATTATTATGAACCTTAGACTAACACTTTCGAACACTTAAGACACTTCAATGATACTTCTTAGACACTTGGGAATTTAAAATTAATAGTGATGAATATGGCGTAAGCATGTAGGTCATTACAATTTCACAAAATATCATTTTTTTAAGAATATTATAATAAGTATCAGTATAAAGTTAGAAATTAATTAAATTTCTGTAATAGTCTTAGCAGTAGATATATATAAGTTAAGACTTGAACTCTCACCAAATTCATGATTTTCGATCTAAACTAAAATTGAAAATAAAATATATATATATGTGTGTGTGTGTGTAAAAAAAAAAAAAAAATCTATGCTGAAACGCTTTTATGTTTCACATTTAGTGGATGGATCAACTCTTATTCATTCCCATTCAGTCTGGATGCTAGCCGTAGTCACACTTTGATGCATCAACTAACTCTTAATCACTCTATTCAGTTTGCATGCTAGCCCTAGTTACACTTGGTGTAGAGGATATATTAGTAACCATCTGCTTATTTTAGAAATGAAGATTTCATATATATATATATTTATAATTATTGATGAATTTTATGTATTTTAATGTATTACATCCTTGAAATATTGGAAGAAACTAAAATGGAATGAATCAATATACGTGAGGAATTTACATAGCTGCAGGGGAAATTTATGGACAAGAGGCACTACATGCCAAGTATCATAATGTACTCATTCCACTCTAGAGCGCTAAATGCAGTATCCTAATTTACTCTACCATTCCACCCTAGTAAGAAGAGGAGTTAAAACTGCATTGCACTACATTCTACCTTTTGAGAGTGATATTTTTATGTACACCCTTTCTCTACTATATTTTTATGATATATATATATATATATATATATATATACTTACCTTGTATTCCAAATCCATATATTTTTTATCCATATTTGGATCTGTTAGAATTGGGTTTTGACCGATTAATACAATATTGGGCAACTATAGTATAGGGTTGATTGAGTTGAACCAAGTTAGCTCTAATTTTAATTAGACCCACAATAACATGAGATCTGATTTTCTTGTCAGCTCTATCAATGAAAGGTGTTATAGTCTCTGTTTGGTCAGCTATTTGGAATCTGAAAACAATGCGGAAGATTAAATTTTGTTGTCATGAAAAATTGCCTTGTTTAATTAGTGAATCACAAACAAAGGAGATTGGTGAAAAAATGATGCAGTACCAAATTTGGACAGCCTTCTTGTTTCATTGATGTACTGAACAGTGATGTTCACTCTTTGTCATCTTAATAAATTCTTGTTGTGGGGAGTAAAAAAAAAAAGGTTTCGCATTAGTTCAAACAATACTCCTCGATTTTAGCTGTAATATAGAAGTTGATTATAGAAATGATTGAATTTTTACTTCAATTTGAAAGGATCTCATGGCTTTCTAATAGAGCAATCCAAGATTTCTTGGACTATTCTTCTTGTTTTGATACTACTTATGATATCAAGAATAAGGCATCGTAAATATTTTCAAATTTAATCACTTTCCTAAATTAAAATAATAAAATGAGTGTAACTAAGGATATCTTTTGAAATGTACATCACCCATTCTTTTATTTTTTTCTCCATCTCCTCTCACTTTTTGGATGGAAGCAAAATGGTGAGCCCAGAGGAATGACTCATCCCTCCATTCTTCCCTTTCTCCCTCTCCTTGTCTCCTCTCTACAAACGAAGTCTGCTCCTCCTTTCCCATCTACCCTCCACCACTCTTCCTACCAAACAGAACCCAACATCTCTCTCGCTCATTATTGGAGAACAAAAATGTTAAAATGCAACGAAAGCACCAACCAGACTTCTAGGATGGAGTTCAGTGCCAACCCCGTAATAATTAGAACAAGGGACTCAAGCAACAACTTAGATCTCGAGCAAAAAAAGGAAGAAGCACGATTTAAAAGCTTTCCGAATGCCAATATAACACAAACAACCAACCCAGTCTCTACACTGCCTCAATGTTCAAAGATGTATCCCTATTGCAGCAACTACACTGGTAATAACAATCACATACCGCGTGTGTAAACCTACAGATTACTTCCTTATTCCATTATTACAGTGAAGCTGGAACTGGCTCAGTGCCAGAAACATGAGATGCAGCACCCTCTTTCGAAATGGCAACATAGTTCACAGGAGCAATGGGCCTGGCACTGTCCCGTCTTCCATCTTTACTACAAGGACCTGCAGAGATAGCCGTCTGCTAGGAGTTCCATTTGCACCACCATTTGCATGTGGGCCCACCACCTTCTTTGTACCAAGTGGTCAGGGCTCGTCCTTTAACCAAAAATCGCTTCCTGTTGTGTGTTTAATTGTTCATGGAACTTCTTTTGATCCTGTACCCTCAAAAGATAACATATTTTCGCATGAGAAACACACTTCGACTGGTGATACAGATGTGAGTCATTGAGCCTACGATTGATCTTATATGTTTGAATTTGAATTAGATTATGACGACTATCAAGTGTTTTTTAACCTGTCTTGTCTGTTTAGAAACGATGTTTTAATTTGACAAGAACTACTACGACAGCTAATTGAGTGACTTGAGTTGAATGACTAAGATCAGTGGCAATCTTGGCGACCGAAAATTGCTTTCTTGGCACTTAGTTAACTATTTTGGGCACATTGTCCATTCATGCATTGTCTTCAGCTGGAAAGGTAAATGCTTCAAAAGAGTAATTATGCAAGTGTGACTGATGCACGATCTATTTTCCTTTGGTAAATGAGTTCTATTTATAATGATAAATTGTAGTCCATGCGTGAATGAGAGCCAAATGTGGGCCAAGTTGAGAGTTGGGTGAGAGCAAGTTGCGTAGGAGTACTCTAATCCAAGGAGAAAGCGGAACACTGTGTTGATGGAATGGTAACAAGTATACCAATTTTCTTGGCGGCCAAACACAGAACTATGACTTCCAATAATGTACAGCACATGGCAAACTAATGTAGTCAATAGTTTCTCCTGTTACCTCCAATAAGTGTTATTTAATCAATGAATCTTTCAAAATTCAATTCTCATTAACGTGATATTGCAATAATTTGTATGTAGCTCATCTCAGACCACTCAAATTCCAGTCATGAAATGCGACATTTTTGACAACCTAAATTCTTGTTAAAAAGGAAAGGAAAAAGCTTTACAATGTGAAAATCTAGGTCAGCTGAACAAAATGAAAGAAAACGATAAATTGATGATGAAATAACAAAATGTTAATCTACATGCACCTATCAATTGTTTATTTTCTTTTAGCTGAGGTCTATCAACCAACATTTTGAGGCTTGTTGAATTTTCTGGCTTAAAATGGACGTTTTTATGCCATACCTACTGCCTAGGTACAGTATGGGATTATAACCAATTACTGCTCCATGAGAGCTTTGTGGCAAATAATGAAATTGAAAGCCAAAAATGGAATGAGACACCAAAACAAGTCAGCAACAACGTTAAAGCTCAATGAGAGCGAGAACTGAGAAGAGTCTTGTAATTCACTATAATTTTGAAAAATCAAAACGACATTCATAAACCACGGGATGATGATACATGGTTCTCCACATTTGAGTTGGGTCCAAATTATCAGTCAAAGTTGCGACTAAAACTTTGGTTCCTCCATTGGACGCCCCTCGAAGCATCACAGAGAATATTATGTACTGCTTTAAGTTTATAGTTAAAAACCTGAACCAGGAAGGGGATATTGGCTATGACAATATGACAGTAAGGAATGACAATGACCGTCGCTTGGAAAACCCAAATCCAATAATTGATCCAAATTGAAATGCTAATAGTTTGATGCCACATTTAAATATACTTGGCACTTAACACATATACATCTTCTGCAACACTAAAAAAAAAAAAGATTGAATTTATTACAGTTACAAACATACAAAAAGGGGTGGGAGATGTTAGCTGAAATACAAAGGCAGCAGGCTTTGTTCACTGTTATGCATGCTATATAACTAATCAATGTCCAACATATGATGCAGTGACCCCCCAAAAAACAGAGCAGGCTAATTGGACCGGTCTCAATGATCATAACCACAGACAAAACCAGCTGACTTTCTGAAGCATCCTAGTTGCAAGCTTGCAGCTGTGCTACCAAAGATGACGGGTACTTGCCATCTTAATTGCAACCTTGCTGGAAATACATGCATAACCTAGGTAAGTGTATCCTTGAATGCTATACTACATACAAAGTGAGGACTTTTCTCAGTATCTATAATGACTTTCTGAAATGTTATCATTTCTCAGACCTTTTGTTTTACAGACAGAGTTTGAAGAATAACATATAATTGTATAGCAGATTTCAGTTTTCTTTTTAGTATATGGGTACAGTAGGGTTGATTACAATTGTATAGAAGACTTTGATTTTCATTCTAGTATATGATTGCAATTGGATCATCAATAAAAAACATTCAACATTCCAAAGAAGATAACAAGAGGTGGTCATTCAGATATAGTTACCCCAAAAAATTCGAGAGGAATCATCATTTCCTAGCCATTACTGCTCATGCTGCAAAATTAGAGCAAAACAATAAGGTGTCAGAAATCAATAAAAGGAAAAAAATATAGCTAAGGGTAGTGTCCAGCAATGCCATAACCGCTATGAATCAATTAATCTATCAATTACCCACTAGCAACCTTGTGATCAAAGAAATACTAAAATAATTTTGATTGAACATACAGAAGACTAAAAAGTGTAAATCTGTACAGGGCACTATTGTGATGTTACAATTAAAATAAGAAGAAGAAGAAGAAGGAATAAACAATGATCCAAATGCTACCCAAAATGGCTTTTGAGCTCTTTCAATCTAGTAATACAAACGGTATTCAAAATGGCTTTTGAGCTCAAAAAGCAAAAGCAACGTTTTGGAAGATAATCCAAACAGGCACTATGCTTTCTTCCCAACAATATAGCACAAAATCGTCAACAAAAAGAATCATTTCACGTCACATTAAGATCAGTTTGTGCTTTCTTAACGTTCAGATCATCAGGATAATTCTGATACATACAAGTGGCGAAACTCCTAATAACAAGAAGAATATAAATTATCTTTGCACTATTCATCTTGTCAAGGGATGTCACTGTGGAATCACGGATTCAATTTCAACCCTCAACTAGAGTAATGGGATGTCACTGTTCACACCTACAATTCTTTAATAAAAGACCCATCAATCCCCCTATTTGCTATTCATTGTCAATGTAAGTCCAAAACAGTGAATATGCGAACACAAAAACATAATCTTTCTTTGCAATTGACATATCCAAATTCAAGTGTTAGTAAAAGTAAGACATCAACATAGAAAAAGGACAAAAAAAGAAAAGAAAGAAAAAAAGAGATTATAAAATAAAGACCACATAAAGAAAAACAATTGCAATTTGAGAGATGCATAGAAAATCTTATACCAGATTCAAAACATATTGAAAACTCCTTGTTTGCTTCCCATTACCAAAAACAGTCAATGGCTCCTTCCTTAGGGCGAGCATTGTTATAGTCATAGGTTTTACTACTATCACTACTTATTTCAAATTAAGTCTTAAGCTGCAGCAATAAAGGGTGACAGATTCGTATACTGTCAAATGGATACTTCTCTATATTTAGCCAAGTTTTATGTTCCCATTTGTGCAAAAATCTACAGTAGTGATATCCTTTCAATTGTCCTCCATTCTTTTTAAGACTTTGGTAACCACAATATGTTGACCGTAATATCTATACTTCGTTTGCCACCAGCAAAGAAAAGAAACAATAAACATTTCTCACTAAACAAAATTCAAGTAGAAGAGAGGGGGCAGATCAAACTGCTTGAGGTGACAAGCATATATTAAACATAAATGTACCCTCGAATATGATTAGGGAATGCAATGCACTTATCATTAAACATTAACAATCCACACCCAATTACAGGAACAACTTTACCATAGTTTACAGAACATCTCACCTTGGTGTTGTCTCTGCGCGCCAAGGTTTGTTGGACTAAAACTGTCCCTAATTTTCTCACCAATGGGTGTTATACCTAATTTACCTCACACCTTCATTCATGAATTGCAACTTGTGGTCCTCGTGTTAACACATCAAAGTTTGTTGGACTAAAACTTTGGTTCCTAAGCATCACAGTGACTACATGAGGAACATGGATTTACCACATTGCATGAGAAGGAAAGCCATGGAAACAGAGGAAACACAACAACATGTGCCATACCCTAGTAGAGTAGTCTGTCTCCTAATGCTTTCAGAGTCCACAGACAAGGAAATGGCAATTAGAACCACTATTTGATACAACCGAAAACACTCGAGGAGAGCGGAAGTACAAGACATCTCATGAAAACAAGGGAGCCTTATATTTCATATCCTCCCGCAACCATGAGCTCGTCTCCCCAACATTAACTACCATGCATTGCCATAAATGAAGATCAAGTGTAGAGCCCCATTTACCACAACGAAACGTGCAATGCTTAAGAATTTACATGCTAGAAAAAGGATTCAAAAATTACATGGAACAGAAAAGACATCCAAAGAGTATGATTGCTAGAGAAATTGCATGTTCTTTAACCAAAATGCATACTCATGAAACAATTCAACCTAAATGTTCATCAACTGGTTACACCACCCACTCCATTGCCTAGTTCCATTTCTGATCAGCAACATGTAACACGCTCCAGATGCAAAGCTGCAACAACCAATTTCAATAAGGGTAACTGGTCTTTGAGCTTATCTAAAAAAATTTCATACAAAGATCTACATAGCAAATGATTTAATGAAGACATAAATAAAGCCAAATGCTCAACTTAGCAGACAAAACATGCAGAAGAATTGTATGGCACGGAGAATATTATGTACTGCTTTGAATTTATAGATAAAAACCTGAACCTGGAAGGGGATATAGGCTATGACAATATGATAGAAAGGAATGACAATGACCATCACTTGGGAAACCCAAAGCCAAATTGAAATGATAATAGTTTGATGCCACATTAAAATATTCTTGGCACTTAGCACAAACATCTTCCGCATCTCTTCAAATAAAAAGATTGAATTTATTATAGCTACACATACAAAAAGGGGGCAGGAGATTTTAGGTGAAATACAAAGGCAGTAGGCTTTGTTCACTGTTCTGCATGCTATATAACTAACCAATGCACAACGTATTCGGGAGTGATCCCCCACAAAACAAAGCAGGCTCATTAGACTGGTCTCAATGATCATAACCACAGACAAAACCAGCTGACTTTCTGCAGCATCCTAGTTGCAAGCTTGCAGCTATTCTACCAAAGATTATGTTGCAAACAAATAGATACCTGTTAAGGTACTTGCCATCTTAAATGCAACCTTGCTGGACATGTTATATATAAAGTTTGGACTCTTCGCGGTATCACTAATGACTTTATGAAATGTTATCATCTCTCAAACCTTCGGATTTACAGACAAAGTTTGAAACATAACATATAATTACCCAGAAAAGAGATAAAGCTAAGTTAGTGTCCAGCAATGCCATAACCACTATGATCCAATTAATCTACCAATTACCCACTAGCAACCATGTGATCGAACATGTGATCAAACAACTACTAAAATAATTTTGATTTAACAAATAGACAACTAAAAACCATAAATCTGTACAGGGGACCATCGTGATAATGCCATTGCTTGCAATAAAATATAAAAAGAAAAGGAAAAAAAAAAAATGAAGAAAAAGAAAAAGGAATAAACAATAATAGTTCAAGACCATGAGGTTCTAAGCGTTCTTTCCAACCCAATACCACAAAATCGCCATTAAAAAAAAAAAAAAAATCATTTCACATCACATTAAGATCAGCCTGTGCTTTCTTAGCCTTCAGATCATCAAGATAATTCTAAAAGATACAAGGGATGAAACTCCAAACAGCAAGAAGAATATAAATTATCTTTACACTATTCATCTTGTCAAGGAAGACTATCACAGAAGAAATAGGAGTAATAGAAAGCGAAAAAGACTATCATAGAGGCAATAAGAGTGCTAGAAGAGAATGCAGTAGTTGAATAAGTCAACTTCCTTTTTTTTTTTTTTTTTCTCAAATACGTAAACCCTTTTGAATGCTTTTAATGAATTATCACTTATCAAAAATGTAAACCTTTACTTCAGAAAAATAAATCAGATTTATTAGAAGTTTTTTTGAGCAACAACTGAACTTTCTGTGTAGTCATGGATTCAAACTCAACCCTTAACCAGAATAAGGGAATGTCACTATTCAAACCTACAATTCTTCAATGAAAGACCCATCAATCCCCTATTTTATTGTCAATATAAGCCCAAAACTATTGAAACATAATCTTTCTTTCCAATTGACATATCTAAATTCAAATGCTAGTAAAAGTAAGAGATCAACATAGAAAAAGGACCAAAAAATGGTATAAAATAAAGACCACATAAAAATAAATAAATAAATAAAACACAATTGCAATTTGAGAGATGCATAGAAAATCTCACACCGGATTTGATACATATTGGCAACTCCTTGTTCACTTCTCGTCACAATAAACAGCCAATGACTCCTTCCTTAGGGAATGCATTGTTACAGTCATAGTTTTTACTACTATCACAACTTATTCCAAATTAAGTCTTAAGATGCAGGGATAAAAGGGAAACCATAGACTCAAAAAATGAAGACAGGTTCATATAATGTCAAATGGCAAATTCTCTATACTTGGCAAAGTTTTATGTTTCCATTTGTGCAAATATAAACATTTATTGATATCCTTTCAATTGTCCACCATTCCTTTTAAGACTTTAGTAACCACATTATGTTGACTGTAACATCTATACTTTGTGTTTGCCACTACCAACAAAGAAAAGAAAGAATAAACATTTCTCACTAATTCACTCAGCTCAATGGTCCTACTATCTGGCGCACAAGAATGCAATACTTCACTAAAACAGATTCTAAAATTTTCCCCAAAAGATAAAAACAATAATAAATAAATAAATAATTCAGGGACATAAATGATGGAAGTATTTCAGATTCTCAATCAAGTTTATAGAATGCATAGAGAATGATGAGGTGTACTATGCGCTGTCTTAATGCATTGATTGAAAAATATTCACATGAAATTTTCCATAAAACAAAAATGGCATCAGTTTACAGATTAGACTATACAGAATTTAGAGCAGATCTTGAAGTTCTTGCATCTTCTGTTGTATCTGCTGCTTGTAACATGACTCAGCTTGAGATTTGATCTAGAATAAACATTAGTTCTTGCTCAGCTTGAGATTCATCTTGAATCCACTGCATACTCTGTATTTCTTGCTCGGCTTCAAATTCATCTTGAATGCACTGTAGTTCTTGCTCGGACAGTGCATGTGACAGATCTATAAAACTTTTGCACGACTGTTGAGTATTGCTTGTAAGAATCTCCATCTCTGCTCGTTTGTTCCATTTTCTCTTGATCCGACAAAGAACCCACTCTTGAAACTGCATCATAACACAAAAACAAAACAGTTAGATGACAAGATGATGAAGATCACACTAAAAATTGTAAGCAAATTGAAAATTTCAGGAAAAATAAAGTATGTCTTACTTTATTAGAGTCAAGCGTGAATTCATGCATAATCCAATCACTCTTCGAGCATTTATTACAAATTGGATTACTATCTTTGTAGCTGTGAAATTTAAGACTCTTCATATAACCCTTCTTGGGTTCCCCTGGAATTAGTTTGTCCCCATGGGTGGCCTTCCACCATCCTCCTCTAAGCTTCCTTGTCGGCCTCTTCCCATTTTGTTTTCGCAGATTTCTTCTCTCTTTTAACATAATAATATCCTTCCGAATACTCAGTACACTTGGTATGATCTGCGACATCCAAAAACACATTAGTTAGTAGGAAATCATATTGACATTAATCATAAGAAACAAAATGATATTAAATCATACAAAAATGTTGCGTAGATAGTTGCTTTTCCATTTTTTTTTTTTTTTTTTGGGGGGAGGTGTATCATATATCATAATAGTAGGAAACTATATTGATTTTTGATATTAAATCACACAAAAATAGTACGTAAATTAAGAAAATTTTATGATCACATACTATATATATATATATATATATATATATATATATATATATATATGTAATTATGCATGTATGCATATATATCAAGAAAAAGAGATTAAGTACCCGTAAGAAAGCATGGTTCAAGTTCTTGAACGTTCTTCTCTACGACGGCATTGGACGGCGGTTGGAATCCATGAACTTTCCTCCACAAGTATTCAATGAGTTCTTCGTTCGTGGGTTTAAATCGAAACCCTTCGGGCATAGTCATATTAGTGGATCAATGAGTTCTTCCCTCCGCCTCCGCCTATTACTATTGATTAGGGTTAGTAAAAAAAAATTAAAGAACATTAAGTCCAAGATTGAATAAGCAGAAAATAATAATGAGTGGAAAATGAAAAGTCAAATAATTAAAAAATAAAAAAGAAATTCACCCCGTTCAGATGGAGCTTCAACAGAGAACCCAAATATGAATAATCAGATACCAATATAGAGAGAGTGTGAGAGAAAGAGATATTTTCATTTTTAGACACACTGATTATTCTCGATGCAAAAATTTTTTTAAAAAATATCGAAATATGAATCGATTTGTGATCACAATTAACATAAAACGGATGGATAATCAAACAGAAACAATAATTACTAACCATTGCCGATCATACAATAAATATAATATATAAAATAAAATCTAAAATCAAGCAGTTTGGTCGAATCAAAGTATCAAACGAACCAAAGTTAGAACAAATCAAATGATGAGATGAACTAAAGAAAGAAGCATATATAAAAGATCGATTCATGAAAAAGGAGAGAGAAGAGAGAGTTCGTCTTACAATAGATTGAATACGCGCAAAAATGAATCTCGGTCGAAGAACTGCCTCTGCTATAAGTTTCTTGAACAGCCTACGAAACCGATCTGAAACCGATCAATGAGAGGTGAATTTCAAGTCAAATAACAAGAGAGGGTAGAAGCCGGGAATGGTCAAGCAATTGACCGGTGAAACCAGTTCCAGCGGACCTTCGCCAAGATTGTACCGATTCCCGTCCGTCTTACAACAATTTGGAGGGAGCTAGGGTTTGTTAATTTTGGGGGTGAACGAAGAGAGAGGTGGGGGTTGATGAGCGGGTCTCGATTTTGTTGAGTGGGTTAAGTTGATGCCCATCTTAACCCATTTATTACAAAGGCATTTCAGTCATTTGAGGAGTGTTAGCTCACAGATGGGCCTGAGCCCATCTCTAACAAAAAAATATTTAAGCCCAAATAACTTACCAATTTGATTACTCCGTATTTGAGTATTTTGGGCTTATGTAGTTTTCAATAGTTATTTTATATAAAAATTTAATGTTGACCTTCCAAATTTTTCTAAAATTTTTATTTGTAGTTACTTGTGATCCTAAGTATTTAATATTGCTTTTAAAATTTCAAATCTAATAAAAAAAAAATTTGTTGCAATTCTTTTCTACAACATATTATTACCATGTTTATATATGCATACATATAGGAAAAATGATACTTAAGCCCAAACAACTTGCCAGTTTGATTACTTGAGTATTTTGGGCCTATGTATCATAGTCCCTTCTTCTTCTTCTTCTTCTTGGAGGTAAGACCAAAGTCGCATTAAGCTCTTCTTTCTTTTTTAAAAATGATAAGTTTTCCGATCTCAATTACCGACTCTTCCTACGAATACAACGTGGTTGGATCACGTTAGAACTCTTAAAGAAAATCCTGTAAAAATCTCTTTTTCTTCGACTTATTTCCAACCACGTTGTATTTGGGAGAAGAGTCGACAATTGAAGTTGGAAGACCTATCATTACTCCTTCTTTTTTTCTTTTCATTTTAGAGGTAAGATTTAAGTCACATAAAGGAAATTTGAGAGGAAATGATTTAACAGTGGAAATGGGAGCGAATTTAAATTACACTGAGTGGCAATGGAAGCTAAGATGGTACACGAAACATGAAAATGGGAGCGCACTCGGAACGTGAGAGTTGCACCCGTTGAGAAGGATCGTGTGACTTAAGTAAAGACTTTCCCTTTATTTATATTTTCTTAATAAATTTATATATTTTATTATAAATAAACAAAAATTAAATAATTAAATCGGAGTTTAATGATGATATATATATATATATATATATATCATGTGACTATTGCATTTGGACAACAAATGGATTGTAATTCTAAAATCTCAATGATTTTGTTCTGTAAAAATCTAATTATGGTTCAAATTTTTTATTTTTATGTTACACCCTTGTTAAAAGCCCTACTTATCCTTAGTCCATTTCATCGTTTGTAATTTTACTGAAGGGCAATGCATTCCTTCAACATTCTATGTTTAAAATCTTTCCCTTGGTGAGCTCTGGACATGGTTGGTTTGGTCATTTGGCCTCTCTGATCTTGCATCTGAAACTTCCCTCTACATCGATCTCATATCACTCTCTCAATGCATGTCCCTTAGTTTTGTAAAACTCTAACATCTTCATTAACTCTTGTGTGAAAATAAATGCTCCTTTTCAAATATTGACTTGATTCTTAAATATATGCATCATGGTTACTATTAATTTGCATTACGTTTCCTGATTTATTTTTTTATTTTATTTTTTTCTTTTAACTTTACAATACATTATGTTTCTTTAAATCAAGTCACCATTTATTTCGATATAAAATATTTTTAAATTTTTTATTTTTTGATGTTTACTTGTTGTAAAATATTTACGAAGAAAAACATATTAAAACCTAATAAAAATAATTTACTATCAAATTTTGACAAGTTATTTTACACGACCCGTCCAATGAACTCGACTTCAACCTTAACCTAGACGACTTTGTCAAACACTAAAAAATAAAAATAAATATATTTTACAAAAAAATATATATATATTTTTAAAAAATATATTTTACGGCAAAATAAATGAAATATATACTATTACATCTTAATTATATTGGTAATTATATATGTTAGTGGCTTAACAGTCAATTCTATTTACTTGGCTTCGTATCCCTCCCTCTTTCTTTGATAAAGATATATGAACAATGCTTGCCTCACATAAGTAGAAATATCATTCGCACGCTAATTTGGACTAATAAAAATATAACATGTGTCAAAAATTTTTTAAAATAATTAATAAAAATTATTTGGATCTTTTTGTGGATCATCCAAAGAAAAGATTTTTTTCCCTCATGCGTTTGAGATTTTCTATTGCAAACCTTTCATATTGCAATCTGTTACAGAAGAAACTAAACAATTGTAAGACTCCAATTATCAATAGAGTTTAAGGAAATCAATTTGGTTTCAGATTGCAACACGTGATGATAAATTTCAAAATTTTGAATGCCACTATTTTTTATGCGTATTTATTAATTGGTCGGCCTCTTGAGTCATTCTGGAGATGGAGTTACAACAGAGATGGCAGGCAACAAATATGGCGGCTTGAATCACATCTCTAAAGATTGGAGGTGGCAAGTAGTGAAGATCGGCAAGTAGTGGAGGCGGTGGAGGTTGGTTGGCGGAAGAGAGGATTAATATTAGAGTTTCAGAATTAGAGAGATGGTAGGCATCAATGGGAATTTAGTAGGAAGAGAGAAGGAATCGTGAGTTAAAGAGAGGGACAGCCCGCTATCAAATCTCACACACGCGTATATTTATAATAATGGACATGCATATATTTATAAAATATTATTAAGTCTAATAATTAAAACATGGTATTTTGTCCAAGCAAGCTATAGCTTTAAAAGTGATTCAGACTTTGACAAAGAATTTATTTATTTATTTATTTTTATGAATGATTAGCTCAGTTCTATCCATTTCCATCTAATTTGGATCTTCATCATTTTGAATTGTCCCATTAACCTTTAACTATTTACACAAGTTAAAACATATCATTGGCAACCAATAGTGTGGCTTAGTGATATTAAATTCATACTTCTCAAGAAGCCGTTAAGACTTTAAATCTCAAAAAGCATGTCGGAATAATATCGAACCATCCAAATGAGGAGCAACCTTGCTCACTCCATGAGATGCCCTGTTGCATGAATGGGAAACCCATTGAAAAGAGACTGATGTACACGATAAGAAAAACTTTTGAATATTTTTTATAAAAATAGATGCATATAAGTAAAAATTTATATTGGTATATTGTCGTGTCCACGTCTTATTCTGTCGGTTAAGTTTATATGATATGTTGGATTATATGTTGTTTGTCATTGAAAATACATATTATCTGTAACAATAAATATAGCATTCCTAGTCCAATTTTGTATAATTTAATTTTGTTTGTTTTTTAAATAAAGAAATGATACAATTTTCTTTCAAGATGAAGAGTTGTAGTAATATGTAGAGAATAGTCAATGTTCTTGAGAAGTAACATTCTAAAAACGTAAGGTAGAATAAAGAGTCTTAGTAATTGTAAATATCAAGATGTTTTAGAAGAGATTTAGAGTAATGTGCACATTCTAGTCGGCCATTAAAGAGTGGATGCCTACATAATGGATAGGTACCTCATTTGTAGCAGTAGAATTAGAAGCGAGATGCGTGAGTGATTTGTATGGTATATTTGTTTAGATTCTAAAATTTTGATTGATTGTGAGGGAAAACAACATTTCCATATATTTTTTAAGAGAATGTCTATGTAATAATTTAACTTTCTCCCCTAATAAAACACTAATATACATTAAAAAATATCTTCTAATTTAGAGTCTCTCCACCAATTAAACCCTTCATTTCCCTTTGATGATACAAAATGTAGGTTACTATATTCGTACTAATACTAGAGATATAGACTCTTGGAATTGTATAGTTTTTACACCAAGAGGGATGTAGCCTAATGGCTCTATATCGAATTTGATGGTTTTTACACCAAATGCGATGTAGCTTGATGGTACTTACTCTCTCCTTTCAAGAGAGAAGGTCCAGAATTTAAATCCTTTATAGAGAACATTATGGGTGTGTTTCTTGCCAATGAATAAAATAAATTCTTCGAATTAATAGTTTTTACCCAGAGTTGTAGGTATTGGTGCTTCCTCACCTTCAAAGGGTGAGGGATTAAGTCCTCGTAGAGTAAAAAATTGGTGCAAGTTATATTAAAAAAAAGTAGCAAACAAATGGATGGTATTTTTATCGCTTAAATAAAAAATAAGAATTAGAACACAAGAACTAAAAGCAATATTTAATAGACAAATTTATATATATATATATATATATATATATATATATGTTTATAGACGTGCTCACATTTTGTTCCAAATCCATTTTTTTTTTTATCCATTTTTGGATCTATTGGATTGGAATTTGACAGATTAATACTAATATTGGGCAACTATAGATGTATAGGGTTGTTAATTAGGGTTGATTGAGTTGAACCAAGTTAGCTCTAAATTTGAGCCAAAATACCATGAGGTCTGATTTTCATGTCAGCTCTAGCAATGAAAGTGTCCTAGTCTCTGTTTGGTCAGCTATTTGGAATCTGAAAACCATGAAATATTAAATTTTGTTGTCATATAAAATTGCCTTGTTTAGTGAAATCTCAAACAAAGGAGATTGGTGAAAAATGCTACTGGCAGTCACGCAAAAAAAAAAGGACAAATGAATCCATATGTCATCTTGTTGTAGATTCAATGCTTCTCTCTTCTAATGTGGTTCTCAGATCAAACTGGCCATCTTGGATCACTGATGTACTGGGCATTGATTCTCCTTATGATATCATGCCTGAACAAGGCCCTATAAGTCTTTGAGTATAAGGATGTCTTTTCACATGTAACTCACTCTTTTATTTTTCTCTCCACCTCCTCTCACTTTTGTATGGAAGCAAAATGGCGAGCCAGTAAGAATGACTCAGCTCTCCATCCTTCCCAGAAAGTCTGCTCCTCCTTTCCCATCTTCCCTCCACCCCCTTTTCCTACTGAACAGAACCCAACATCTCTCTAGCTCATTATTGGATAACAAAAATGTACAAGTGCAACAAAAGCACCAACCAGACTTCTAGGACGGAGTTCAGTGCCAACCCTTAATTATTGGAACAAGGGACTCGAGCAACAACATAGATCTCTAGCAAAAAAGGAAGAAGCGCGATTTAAAAGCTTTCCAAATGCCAATATAACACAAACAAGCAACCCAGTCACTACACTGCCTCGATGTTCAAAGATGTATCCCTATTGCAGCAACTACACTGGTACTAACAATCACATACCACATGTGTGTAAACCTACATATTACTTCCTTATTCCGTTATCATGGTGAAGCCGGAACTGGCTCAGTCCCGGAAATGTGAGATGCAGCATCCTCTTTCGAAATGGCAACATAGTTCACAGGAGCAATGGGCCTGGCACTGTCCCGTCTTCCATCTTTACTACTCAAGGACCTGGCACCATTTTGGTTAACATTCAGAGATAACCGTCTGCTAGGAGTTCCATTCGCACCACCATTTGCACGTGGGCCCACCACCTTCTTTGTACCAAGTGGTCTAGCAGGGCTCGGCCTTGAACCAAAAATCGCTTCCTGTTCTGTGTTTAGTTGTTCATGGAACTTCTTTTGATCCTGTACCCTCAAAAGATAACATATTTTAGTAAAAGAAACACACTTCGACTGGTGATCAGCCACTGAAAGCTAATGTGAGATGAGAATTTATGTCAAGACTAATTAGTACTATTTTGTAAATGGCATTTGTTCCTATCTTATTATCTCACTTGACAAATGTCAATCAATTTGTTGGGCTTACCCTCATCCTTCGTTTTTCTTCTTCTCTGTCATGCCTGAGCATTGCATACTCATCTAGCATTGCAAGCAGGGGAACACCATCATAGGTAAATGAGATGCCATGATCTTCTTCCCAAGCCCTTGTCTTGGCAACCAGAGTGTCAACAAGAGCTACATGGCCAAGAAAACCAATCAATAGGAGTTATTTGTGAAAACTCATTTGTTAAAATCAAGCAAATACCATATGGTTGCATTTATGAGTTGCTGTGTTTGCACTCAATAGACAAAACACGTGCGGATCTATCTCCTAGCATGAAACTCCACAATACATCCTTAATGATAACCTTAGAACAAGTGACAAACTTTCACTATTTTTTCAGAAACCATTCATGATCTAAAGAAAGTGTTAAGCCTTTATCTAGAATCATCTCCTTGCCATCTTGTAGCATCCTGTCAATATGTTACATGGTTTCAGATTTAAGCGTCTCCGGATGTCATAATATATGACAACCCAAATCACGGATGAGTCAAAGTATTTCTCTCTGTGCCCTAGGTAGGAAGAGGATGAATGTACCCATAGCAAGTCTAACATGTGAACTCTTCAGAATGTGAATTGACATTTGAAAAATATTATTGAATGTTGTTCTTTTGTGGATGCCTGTTGTTGATCATATTACAGACATGTAATATATATCCAGATTTTGTATCATGTCAAAGACAATAATTTCAAGATTCTAAAGGCCCTAGACTAAAAGAAAAGCAAAGGAGAGTGTGGAGAGAGAAGATCAAGCCATCATTCAAAGCCAAATCAATCATAAGATTACCCTAAGACCCCGGTAAATTTAAATATATGCATTCTTTTTCTTTTTTTTCCTGAATGTTTTTTTTTTGGTTCCGGTAAATTTAAATATATGCATTCTTCATTCTTAATTGGATATCAAGTTTGGCAACAAAAAGAAATCTATGCAACTGTTATGGCAATTGGTGATATTATTCTGCAAATACCTGGAATTTTGTTGACTAAAATCCGGGCTTTTTCAGCACGTTTCAGATTTAAATGCGCACCTCTGCTTGCGTTATACCTGTTTTCATCCTGTTTCAAGTTTCAACAAGGCAACATCAGTGACATGCAGACATAGTAACACCCTAATTGCTACTGTGAAATAATTAGGCTTAAAGCATTAAGAAAGGAAAAACAGTCCTAAATAACATGCTTGCAAAGAGCCTATCATCGCCCATTAGGGCATGAAAACTTCATGGATCAACTGTGTTTGTTTCATATGTGTTAAACGTCGGAAGTGTCAATCCCCATACAAGACACATGGAAACTGCTAAACATTCATATTATTTTTATTTTTATTAACGTTTTACGCACTCTGAAGCAATAATGTAATAAAATTGAATTATTGGATATGTTTTTTTAGGTGCATGTCTAACCAAAAGTGTCATACACATAACCCATACACATGTCTGAACATTGTGTGCATGACACAGGTACTCCCTCTACTTTTAAAGAGTCATGTAGCATAGTGGATCAATAAGGTCCCGGTGAGGAGAATGTGTCCTTTATACATCCCCTGTGAGAAGAACATGCCCTAGGAAGATCAATAAGGTCATGGTGAAAAGAATGAGTGTTGTTATACTAGGAATTGAGAAATTTATTATCTTATAGTGTTAGCAATGAGACACAATTCGCATAAGCTTACTGCTGTTGGAGAATTAATAAAAAGTTAAATAGAAAAGAAATGACTGAACAAAAGGGGCCTATGCTTGATCTGAAAGAACCAAGAAAGAGAACAACAGTTTTAGTTAAAGACACCATTGAGGTTCACAAAACATGTTTAAGTGATACTTGTTGCTCAAAGTAGTTGCCACCTATCAGAGCGAATCAGAGATACTAACGAAACTCATGGATATTTCCAGCTATAGATTGATGCCAGCTGAAAAGAATGTTTAAAGCAGGTCAAGGCATGGGCCTTGTCCATTTTCGAACCTTTCCCAACCATCCAAGCTTCCCTATTTTCTCGTGATGCAGATTACATGGTTTTAAGATAAACTAATGGTATTATCCAGTTTCATTTTCCCTTTTTTCTTTTGAAATTTCAGCAACAAAATAATAGATTGACTCTCCGCTTTTACACGTCAGAATGGTTTATTGATGACTAAATGACATGTAAAAGAAAATAATAGAAGGGTTTATGATCTGGCGCATTCCAAATTTTCCATGGTGTGGATATCACTTAAAATGTCAGATCAATAATAGGTTAATAATATCTCCAACTATCAATTACTAAATTCACATTAATGACCACAAATAATTGACAAGCAGACCGGAGATCAGAAGAATGATATTGGAATTGGACCTTGTGGCACAAAACATCCCAATAAATCACCCCCAAATTATAATTTTGATCCATAAGTACATGTGGCTGGAAATATGATCTGGTTTGAGTTTAAAGTGCGTTATCGGAAAGACCAGCATATAGCAGAATCACATAATTACGTAATCAGAAATCTCTTCATCGATGATGTATTCAAGTGAGTCTGATGATTGCATTGAAAATTTGAAATTACCCAAAGTTCAAAACACAGTTCAGTCACGTTAGTAGAAATATATTGCGTACATATATAGAACTTTGTAAATGGGAACTCTATCCAATACACAAACACACATACAGAGAGAGAGAGAGAGAGAGAAATACCCTATTGTAGTCTTCAAGCCAACTCTCTTCTTCACAAGCTGACATCCATTTTTCAACCTTATCCAATATGTCTCTTCTGCTGAGAGCCTCTTCCTTTGCTTTTACTATTTGATTATCCATGTCAGCCAATAACTCAGAAGGCTCGACATTCCCAGAATCAATAAGTGACATAATTTTCTCTCGGGCAGCCTCCGAATCAATCTCAACGTGAGCACGGGTAAATATCTCTTCAAGCTCAGCTTGCCTCTTAAAAGCAATTTCCTTCATCCGACTAGCTTTTAGCTGATCCAGCCTTTCAACTTCCACCTCAGCCTTGACAGCAAAACAAAAGTATTTTGAGCACACGCTGGTATTGTATATTCAACTACACTTCGGAAAGACCAAACTTGAATTACCTGCTCTATCAGATCCAGGGCAAGGGCCCCCGGGATGGTTACTTCATCTACTGAAGCTGATATGTTGCAGGTAACGTGATCAAACAAACTCCGGTCTTCTCGGGGGGTATCCATCAAATTCCAAAGATCAATTAGCTGACTTGCTAACTCTTGAAGCTGTGAAAGGAAAAATACATGTTAGAAGAATTGTTTCAATTGCTGGAGTAGACAGCGGATCATGGTGATTCTCAAAGTCAGATGTGTAATTGCTTATGAATGTTGAAAGAGAGAGGCTGAAATAAAGCATCACATGTTTTAAGTAATTCAAATCACATGAACTCCTTTAAATACACAATCTGTCTCAAACACACAACAGCAGAGTTTGGGATAACATGTCTGGTTGGACATGCACCTACCAAGAATATCTGATAATTCAAGTATACTGCATAATTGTATTTAAAAATCTCTTATTATGTTCCTTTTGCTTCAAAATGTGTAAAGTTCCCATGTTGGACACCCTATGCTACATAAAAACACCCACTTACACTAAAAGGCATGGAAAGCACTCAAAAATACATGTATAATTGTATACCAACTGTCAGGTCTAAGAATTTATTAAATCCAACTCCTTGACACATATTTACATAAGATAAATGTATCCTCAAACGTAGCACCACATTTTCAAAAGTAACATGTGTGCCCCAAACCACTCCTTATATTATGTGATAGCAAAGTAACCAAGTACAAATGTGACGTAATAAGGATTACATAACTAAATTGATAAACTATGGGTTTAATATTTTATGAGGATATAACATGGTAAAACAAAATACCAAGTAAAACATAACTATCATGTGCACATATAATGTAATCTAAACATATTCTTGTTAACTTTGCATAGACAAGCTTCTCAAGAATGAAGAAGCCGGTATCACACCTATAGAATGGAAGAGTGAGTTACAAAAAAAAAAAATCGTTGTATAACATGCAAATAGAATAGTAGAACAATGGAAGGACAAGTGTTTATATATATATATATAGAACGGAAGAGTGAGTTACAAAAAAAAAAAAATCCTTGTATAACATGCAAATAGAATAGTAGAACAATGGAAGGACAAGTGTTTATATATATATATATAGAATGGAAGAGTGAGTTATACAAGGATTTTTTTTTTTTTTGTAACTCACTCTTCCATTCTATATATATATATATAAACACTTGTCCTTCCATTGTTCTACTATTCTATTTGCATGTTATACAAGGATTTTTTTATTTTGTAACTCACTCTTCCATTCTATATATATATATATAAACACTTGTCCTTCCATTGTTCTACTATTCTATTTGCATGTTATACAAGGATTTTTTTTTTTTGTAACTCACTCTTCCATTCTATATATATATTTTACAATACATGATTTGAGCTTCAGAAAAGTAGTTAACATATCATACTTCTTCAGAAAAGTAGTTAACATATCATACTTCATACATCTTAAGACAAGCATAATTAAATGCAGTAACCAACAGCAAGCAGATCTTTGTACTATCTGTTATCCTCATACTGAAAAGCATAACTGTCTGGTCCACAACTCCTAATATATAAATCAAAATGGAAATTTCAGATGAACTTCACTGATAGATATCTAGAACTGAATTCTGAAGAATTACCTTTTGCAACCTCTGCTTCTTATCTTCTTTTAGTGCTAAAACCGTATTAGCCAGCCTAGCTAGGGTGTCATTGCTGATGCTTTTGGATTGCACACCAATAGAGTCGTTTAAGCTTGGATGAACCTCATTAACAGTGCTAAAGAAGTCCATCCCAAGGACAGCACAGAGGTCATGCACAGTGCTTACAAATTCAAGGACCTTGTGCAACCTATCACTCTATAAGATCAAACAAATGATCAATAATGATCAACTCAATGAGTCTAGTGATTGAACAAACTATTATTAACAATTTACCTTTTCTTTTTGAAGTTCTTGGAGCTGAGATTGAAAATTATCCAATTTCTTCAAGGATAGATCGGTCTCATCAACTGCAGGACTCCCTACCTGCTCACCTGTCCCAACAATTTCTCCACTAATCTTTTGTATTTGTGACTGTACATTAAAAAACTCCTTTATCCTTTCCCCTTTCTGTTTCCACAGCTGTTCAAGTACTGGTGTTATAGCAGCAATTTGTTCCTTAATTGTTCCTGAAGTATTCTCAGGCTGCAAAACAGACCCAAGAAAACAACGACGAACCTGGTTTACTAACTCCCAGAATTTTAAGTTCTTCCACTGCTTGAACTCCAGTGAGAGTAATCTAAAAAAAATTCCACAAAAAGGTAAAGTGGTTACTCACAATTCCAGTAAAAGTTTTCTCTCCGAGAGCAGATAGAAGACTGGAGAGTTCAACATTGGCATCTGCCAAGGCTTGAAGAAGGTGAGCCCTTGACTTTGCAGCCTGATCAACCTTCCTCTTGTACACGTCCAAGCACTCTTGTTCTAACTGAAGAAGCATCTTGTCCCGTTCCTCGTCACTTTCGCCAACCTCATCCCAAATTTGCTGGCATTAAAACACAAATTATTATCAGTCTATCATATTGTCCCATGATTTTAGTTTCACTTGTACAACGTAACAAAGCTTGAATCCCAATTATTTGACATAACACATTACAAAATTAAATTTGATCAAAAACTGCAAATTAAGAAAACAAAGATTACCTGCAATTGCTTCAATAAGGAACCACAAGTGGTTTCACCAAGAAGAATATTCTGAACATCCACCGCTGCCATGGATGCTAGTACTACAATCTAACCTGCACCAACAGAGTATTCAAAAGGTTTTCTCATATTTTCTATATGGATCAGAATGTTCTTCAAAGCACATATAAGATGCAGAGTACACCCCCCAAACACACAACTAAATCCATATCCATCATATGGCATCAATGAAATATCACTTTACCAGACAATCAAAACATACGCAACTGTCAGCATCAATAATAAAAAAAGACCGCCTAATTTGGGATTTAAACCTAGGTTCCACATTTAAGTTCAAAATCATCTAAACTTTGGAACAAATTTTGTAACCCAAATGCAATAAATAACTAACACATTAAAAGAAAAAAGCATTGGACGAAAAAATGGGATTATAGAAAATCTATGAGGAAAACCCTCCAAGTTGTGGCAAAACAAAGAGCATAAACGCAAAGAGTCAAAAATAGAATTCAACATTACAAGATTGCAAAGACTAAAAAAGTTTCAGTAAACTTCATTTGCACTCAAGCCCACTCAATTAACCAAATTATAGCATCAAAAGAAAAAAAAAGACAGAATCACCCGAGAAACAAGCATTAACCACAAAGACTCAAACTCAAGATGAATACAAGCAATTCACTTCCCTCATCCAGTGTAAAACAAGAAAAATTCAGGAAATGTAGAACCAAACCCCCCAAAACCCTAATTCTTACACAGAATGTCTACAATCCACAACTACAAACACAACATTAAGTGCAACCAAGTGTGACACGAACTTCAAAAGTATCAGATCTCAAATCAAAGCCATTTTATTCAAAATCGATCACAGAGGGAGTGAGTTCAAGTAGAAGATAATCCACATTTCTGAAGAATCAACAGAGAAAAGACTGATTGACACAAAATGTTTACAGATATCTACTTGGAGTTAGGGTTTTTGGAGCGTGTGGTCACAGATCTAACGTCTTCGCTGTCTCAGTGAAGAGAGAGAGAGAGAGAGAGAGAGGGAGAAGGACAGTTTGACAGAGGATTGGAAGGGGGAAAAATTGGAGACTCGGTGGGACCCTTCGCTTTCGTTCGTATAATTGTCCTGAACATTTATGTATTTTTATGTCCACTGTTTTACACTAAATTACGAAGATGACACTGGTGTTATGTCAGTATTAAATCTGCTTATTTTATTTGTCCACTAATACTATAATGTTTGACCCACCATGGGGTTGCTTGACCGAAACGGAAGGAACATTACGTAAAAGGAGGGCCCATTTCAATCAAACCGTTTTCAAAAAGATTTGGGGCCCACATGCCCGCTCCTTGAAGAGCTGTATTATCAAAGTATAATAGTACTGTACTGGTAAATGTTTATCTATATCTATATAATTTTTAATATTTATATATATTTTTCAGATTTTTTAAAGCACACAAACGTTCGTAAGCAATATATCACGTCTAATGCAAATCCGTCACATTTGATCAACAATTGAGTTTTGCATTGTAATTCTAATATTAATGAATAAATATTATCATACCATGTTGGGGTACCGTAATTAAATGATATAATAAATTATCGAGAACAAATCTTATATAATATACTTAGTGCAGGATTAATGGTAATATTCAAAAATCATATTAACATTTATATTGAGGTTAATTGCAAAAATTTTTGTACTATACAATTTTTTGCAACTTGTTTCTCAAAATAAGTTCTTTTTTGAGGTTAATTGCAATTCGTTCTTTGAATGGTTGAAAAAAAAAAAAAAGAAAAAGAGGGGTGGGGTTTACAAAATACTCTTTACATTTGAATTTAAAATGAACTATTGGTGCATCCTTAATGTATCAAAAAAAAAAAAAAAAATGATAGATAGCATTTTCCTATTGGATTTAGAATTGAGCTAACATTTTAAAATTGATATGATGATTAGATTAAAATCAAATCAAATCAAATCAAATTTGATCCAATTTACCAAAAATTCAAGTCTCGAAGTACGGATAATTTTGTAATTGAGTAAGAGAAAAAGATCTTGTAGGTAGTGAAGGCTCCTAATATAGAAAGCGACCTAAGTCATTATTAGTGATAGCAAGTGAAAAAAAAAAAAAAAAAAATGGGAGAATTGGGGGCAAGCAAAAGTCTTATCATTGCTAGGTGTCATCACGGATCAATCAAGCTTTTTTTTTTTTACTTGATGCATCATCATGCATGAATGGTGAAAAAAATGTAATGGGACCCAAAGGACAATTTGTAGTTAATAAAAAATTGAGAGTAAAAAACAAGTAGTAATGATGCACAAGGCCAAAAGGCTAATAGCTTATACAAGGGAAACAAAATCTATATATACTAAAGAGATTGTGTTTTACTTACTTTATTCTCATTCCAATGGGCGGAGTGCGGACCACTCAAGGGTTGGTTGGGGCTGTCTCAGGACGGAGCAATAAATTTTTGGTGGGTCCAATTAATACTCCGTACTAGGTGTTAGTATAATTTTTTATTATAATAGTAGTCATAATATATATGTATATATATATATATACACAAAGTAATCTTGAAAAAAATAACCTAAATGACATTACAAATTAGGCAAAGAAAAAATATATAAAAAGAGAGGAGGCAAAGAAAAAAATAATTTTAACCAAATAAATCTCACAAGCTTTAAGAATTAAGAAAACATAATTATCAAAAACAAGATAAAGAAGTATTTTAGTATTGTATATAAAAAATTGTCATTTAATAAGCGACAATAAAAAATACTAGCATATTTTATATCATTTTTTATTATTATTTTTTCTTTTTGTGGGAAGTTTTATATTATATCAATGTTGTTAATGGTATTCTTGTCCTTTTGATCTTACTCCAATTTAGTTTTCTCTCATTCCTAATGCTAAAGTCAGTTTAGACATAAATGTCTAACAAAAAAAGTTCATGCATTTTTATTATACACAAAGGGTAATTGGTGTAATTTTTTCTTTCTCCTCTGAATTCATGTAATAGATATTATATATGGGGTGTAAGACCTAGTTTGGTTGGAGAGAATTGATAGAGAAATAAAGGTTACGGAGGGGAATGATATATTCTATTTGGTATAAATCATTAAGGAAAAGAAATGAAGGGATTCAAATGAAGCATGAATGTTGAGTTCTATTATCCTTCTATAAATGAGAGAAAATGGAAAGAAATAAAAGGAAAAGGGTTACAAAGTTTAATAAAACTTTTTTAATACTATTTTGCTCTTATTCTTGGTATTTTTACAAAAGAAAAACCTATAGAAAAGGGTATGATGATAAATTTATTACAGGAATTTTTACCAATACATAGGCTTAAGGCCCAAATACTACAATGCAATGATGTCAACTTCTTGATTTTTCAATAAAATGAGGGGACCACACAAATTTTTTCTTACAAATGAAAGGACCACACAATTATTTTTCTAAAATGGAATGATATTCTACTTTAGACCGCACAACAAGCTATATTGTCACTTTAACCCAACAAAATAGATGATTATATCATAAAATAAGCTTATTGAAAGATCCTTGGACAAACGTTTTAATATTTTTCCCACTAAATTAAAATTCGCAATAGATTAATATGGACTTATAGACTTCTTTAGACAAAAGATCTTATATATAAATTAAAGTTAATGAAACAGTATAGGCTCTGATACCAAAATTGAGTTGAATCCAACACGATAAAAGCATGCAAAATAAACATAGAATAAATTTAACAATTAAATCACAGAAATGACTATCGAACCTAATAACGCCCGGACACCAGCAAGAACGGACCAATAAGCCAACAGTTCGAGTCAACTTACAGAAAAAATTGCTAATTTAATTCTAAGGCTGCTTGTACTGGCTGGATTCAAGAAAATTCTAGGATCTACACTGTCTGGCTAAATAAAATCTATATATTTGATCTTTTTGTCGACAGAAGTCTTTTGCCCGAAAATACTTAAAATACTAAATAGAGATAAATAAATTTTTGAACAGAAGCAAACTAAATGATTTATTTCATGGAAAATATATATACATGGATACACACTATTTTATACATGGATACACTCTCACACTTTATTTTACAAAGAGATTATGTACTGAAAGAAATCACAAAAGAAAGCACATTAGAATCTTATGGCAGAGAACTGGGATGCTTAATGACTCTTGGATCTAAGATTCGATGATGTTTGCTTGAGCAGAGAAGTTCTTTTTATAAAAGATGAGAGGGATGAACCTTCGGCTGAGCTTGAAGATGCTGCATAGACGGTTGAGATTCAAGATGCTTTTGAAATAAGATGGCATGAATAATTGTTGAACTATAGATGTCGACTTCTATGAAATTTTATCTACTTTTACTGTTGAGAATCTACTTTCGGTGGATCTGCTTTTATCTGTGAACTGTTGCGAATCTACTTTTCTTGGACGTTGAAGCTGCCTTTATCTGTACATTGTGGCGAATCTGCTTTTCCTTAGATACTTTTAGAATTCTTGCATATTGGTCAAATTTCTGTCGGTAGTGTTATCTGTTGGCTGTCATTTTTTTCTCTTTCATGCATGCAGGCCAAATATGCATCAGTACTGTCTGGTGAGCTGGTTTCTTCATTTCTATAGGCGAGTTCAAACTGTTGCAGTAACATTTTTTCTTCATTTATAATTTCTTCAACTTCTGGAGATATCTCAATCTCTGGAGGAGACTTAATGACATGCGAAATTCTTGCTTTGATAAAAATTTCCATGTTGATATTATGGTCGTGGAGTCTGAAACCAGGATTGTAGTTTAGGTTAACCTATCGATAGGCTTTATAGTATACAAAATGGTTAAAGGTAGCTGGTTCTATCTCAGTACGAAAGTTATTTACAAAATCAATATGTCAGGTAAAAACTTTGACTTCTGTGGGATCAAAATGAATGTAAATTTGATGCTGTCCCAAAATTATTGCTCCATCATTTACCCATTCTGGGGGAGTACTATGGATTTAAAGGAGAATTGGGCTTTCTGGCATGAAGTTATGAGTTAGCTTTTGTTCAAAGGCAATGACTTGGTTTAATCGGTTGGGAAAGTTACCTAAAGAGTTTATATATTCTAATAGCAAATCTTTTGGTATGGTGATGTTGTAGATCATTCCTAATTCTAACAGCTAGCTTAAATAACAAATGGTTGTTTTTGTAGCAAAAAGGGTTTTTTCTGGTTATTTCAAAAGGATAGAAAAAGACAATGTCTACTTCTAGTAAGATAATTCCCATAGGTACGAGATTGCCTGTTTGTATAAATCTTAAGAAAAAATAATGATATCGTGTTCCTGTGGGTGTACTGTTGTTTCTGAGGTAATTTTGGATATCAACCCATTCCTTGAGCCCATCTGACTTATTTTCTTCTTCTTTGATGTTTTCAGGAAAGAGCTCAACTTGTTGTCTTAGGATTTCTCTGTATGTGGGAGAAAACATGGGTAATAACTTGGCATACTTGGTTTATACCTGCAGAAATTAAATTTTCTGAAGTTTTTCATCTTCATCAGTCCGTTGCTCAGAAATAGTTAGCTCTGTGGGATTTGTTGTCGTTTTTTGATAAGCTAAATTTAATTTTTTATAATGAGATATAAGTGTCTCATGTTCTTACTGTAAATTCTGATTTGCTTTATTGGATGATATAAAATATTCACTTAAAGTATTTAGATTTCTGACGAGAGTCCTATCGGGGTTGTTTCTAGAAAACTAAATATTATCTAAAATAAGTTTTTGGTCAGGAAAAAGATTATGTCTAGCGCGGAACTGTTGAGCGGGGTTTTGGATAATCAAAAGAGGATTAGAAGTGCCTGGTATAAGGCTATAACTGTTGTTGCTTTTTGTTTCCATTCTTGCAAAAATTAACAATCAATTAGTACACAGGATATAATATCTGCTAAATAATTGTCTTTTCTTTTGACATGTTCAAATATAGGTTTAAAACCTCTTCCAGTAATACAGTCAATAAAGGAAATCTATCTCTTTGCAGACATCCTATGTTACTTTGCTTTGTTTACAAATTTAACTATGTTATCACAA